CTTCAGGTGTATACAAATTATCAACAATTATAAAATAAATACACATTATATTAACGTTGCAAACAATTATTTCTTTGACGATTCGTGATATCTGACCACATTTTTAAATTTGGCGGATTTTGGATTTTTTACATTTCAGTTAAATATTACCCGATCATTACAGTGTTTATTGTTTTCATAGTGGGCCACTGAAAATTTTGACAAAATAAATAATTTGGTCTATACCTATATTGACAACGAGAACTAATTATCATGCTCAAATTTTTTATTATTATTTTTTTTTGTTCGTTTGTTTCTATGGTTTTTATTTACTGTATTTTTTGTGGCAAATTTGCTCGGTTTTTCTTTATTTTTCTGTATTTTCTATTTGATTTTCTATCGTGTTTTTCTCGTATTTTGTAATTTTTTTGCTCGATTTTTTTTGTATTTTTTGAATGGATATTATTTTAAAACATGTCTTCCTTTTTTGATGATTCGTGATATTTGACCATATTTTTTTGACTTTCAGACTTTAATATTTCAGTCAACTTGCAATTTTCAATTCCTGGATTTTTCAACTTTTGAATTTTTTAGTTTTTGATTTTCAGTTTCTCGATTCTTATTATTTGGATTTTTCAATTTTTCGTTTTTGAATTGTTCGATTAGCAAAACTGTCGATTTGGAATTTTCTATTTTTAATTTTTCAGTTCTTTGGGTTTTTAGTTTTTTGATTCTCAATTTTTGGATATTTTAATATATTTTTTGAATTTTATATTTTTCACTTTTTCAATTTCAAATTTTCCGATTTTTAATTTTTCAATTTCTGGATTTTTAATTGTTTTATATTTCAATTTTTCGTTTCTTTACTTGGTCAATTTAAAAAAAATCCGATTTTTAATTTTTCGTTGCCTCAATTCTTCAATTTTCAGTTTTTTGACATTTCAAGTTCTCGATTTAAATTTTTCAATTTTTGGTTTTCTCACTTCTTCGATTTGCAATGTTTCAATTTTTTCATTCTTCAGTTTTTCAATTTCCCAATTTCTAGACCTTTTAATTTATTTTGCAGTTTTTAGATTTTTCACATTCTCGAATTTTAATCTTTGTATTTTTCATTTTTTTTATTTTTTCGATTTGCAGTATTACAACAAGCAGTTCGGCAAAAAAACGGACAAGAACATCGAGAAAAAGTTGAACAAAAAATCTAGAAAAAATCGAGCAAAAAACAGGAAATATAAAAAAAGTTCAACAAAAAATTGAGCAAAAAAATCCTACAGAAAATTGACAAAAAATGTAACAAAAAATTTTAAAAACGGTAAAAATCAAACAAAAATTGAACATCAAATCACATACAAAAATCGTACAAAAAATTGAACAAAGAAAAATCGAGATATATTTCCATTTTATTCTGTTCGAATTTTTAATTGAAGAAGCAAAAAAAACTCATGAAAAATCAATTCAAAATCGAGCACAAACGGAACAAAAAATCCAGAACAAAACAGTTAAAAAACGAAAAAATACAACAAAAATGTAGCAAAAAAGATAAAAATCGAAAAAAAATCATCAAAAAACAACGCATAAAAAATAGTAAAAATCGGGTAAAAAAAATCAATAAATAAATCTAACATTAAATTCACCAAAAAAACAAAAAAGAAAAATGAAAGAAAAAACTGAGTAAAAATAGAGCAAAAAATGGAACAAACTATAAAAAAAATTACGAAAAACCTCAAAGAAAAAGCAAAAATCGAGCATAAAACGGAGCAAAAAAATCGAACAAAAAAAATCGAAAAAAACTTAAGAAACACAACAAAAAACTCATGAAAAATGTAGTAAACAAAAAACTGAATAAAAAAAATTAAACAAAAAATCGAGCAAAAATGGAACAAAATAATCGAGATGTAACAAAAAATCTAGAAAAAATCGAGCAAGAAAACAAAAAAATACAAGAAAAAGTTCAACAAAAAAAAAATGAGCAAAAAAATCGAACCAAAAAATACACCAAAGCATTGAACAGAAAAAGCGAAAAAAAAAAAAACCCTACAGAAAATTCACAAAAAAACAAAAATCTAAAGAACGGTAAAAAATCAAAGAAAAATTTAACATAAAATCGTACAAAAAATGGAACAAAGAAGAAGATTTGAGATTTGTCTCCATTTTATTCTGTTCAATTTTTTAATCGAAGAAGCAAAAAAACCTCAAGAAAAATCTATCAAAAAACAAAATAAAAATGCAGCACAAAACCGATAAAAAAACGAAAGAAATAGAACAAAAAAATTAAGCAAAACAGAAAAAACGTATAAAAACGAGTAAAAATCGGGTAAAAAATCAATAAATAAATGTAACATAAAAGTCAGTAAAAAACTCAAGAAAAATCTAATAAATGTGGAAGAAGAAAAAACTTCAAAAAAATAGCAAAAAAAGGAACCAAAAATCGAGTACAAAACCGATCAAAAAAATCGAGCAAAAAAATTGAAAAAAATTTAGAAGTATACAACAAAAAACTCTTGAAAAATGTAGGAAAAAACTGAATAAAAAAAATTAAACAAAAAATCGAGCAAAAATTCAACAAAATCGAGATAAAATTACTAGAAAACATCGAGCAAAAAAACAGCAATTACAAGAAAAATTTCAACAAAAAAAAAAAAAACAAAAAATTGCACAAAAAAGCCAACCAAAATACAGTAAAGCATTGAACAGAAAAAGCGAAAAAAAATACAAAAAAAACCTACAGAAAATTGACAAAAAATCTAAGGAACGCTAAAAATTCAAACAAAAATTGAATATAAAATCGCATAAAAAAATCGTACAAAAAATGGAACAAAGATAAATCGAGATTTGTTTTCATTTTATACTGTTCGATTTTTTAATCCAAGAAGCAAAAAAAAGTCAAGAAAAATCCAGCAAAAATCAATTACAAATGGAACAAAAATTAGACCAAAAATGAGCAAAAAATGTAAGAAAAAATCGAGCAAAAAACAGAATCAAAAAAACTAATACAAAACAGATTTTAAAAAAACGAAAAAAATAGAACAAAAATTCGGCAAAAAATTGAAAACACATAACGAAAAATTCACAAAAAAAAGGGTAAAACATCGAAGAAATAATTGACCAAAGAAAACGCACAAAAAAAAGAGTAAAAATCTGGTAAAAAATCAGTAAATAAATGCTACATAAAATTCAACAAAAAACTCGAGGAAAATCTAATGACTATGGAAGAACAAACTAAGTCAAAAGAGAGCAAAAAATGAAATAAACCATCAAAAAAATCTAAGAAAAAACCTCAAAAATATAGCAAAAAAAAAAGGACCAAGAATCGAGTACAAAACGGACGAAAAAAAAAATCGAACCAAAAAAATCGAAAAAAAAATTGAAGAAGCCAAAAACTATAAAAAAAGTCAAAACAAAAAAATCGAGCAAAAACTGAACAAAATAATCGAGATAAAATTGAGCAAAAAAAATGCAGCAAAAAAATAGATAAAAAGTCTAAGAAACTTGTGAAACAAAATTGAACGAAAAATCGAGCAAAAAAACCACACAAGATCGAGCACAAAAGGAGGAAAATTGAACAAAAATGAGAGTAAAAAATTGAGCAAAAAATCGATGAAAAAAAAGGAAGAGGAAAGCAAAAATGGACAAAAATGGAACAAAAAATTCAAGAGGATCTGAAAGTTCCTTTAATAATGTGGACTGTTTAACAAACAATTGAAGAAAAAGTAAAGCAAAAAATGGAACAACAAATTAAAAAGCTTCCGACACAAAATTAAACAAAATATCTAAGAAAAATAAAGAATTGTGCAAAAAAATCGAAGTTTAATACAGAGTGTCCATAAATGTTGGCAGATCGAAGTGGTTAAGATAAAATTAAATTTCAGTTAATAGTTTGATGTGATAAAACGTTTTGAACTAATAGTTGAGTTTTTTCTGTTAAAAACCTACTTTCGAAATTAACCCCCGTCCCTCCGAGAGAGAAAACAGAAAGCTCCTTTATATCCCTCGTGAGCAACGTGCTGTAAATTAATTCCTGGCTTTCGCACGCGTCTCGGCCTTTATATTAAAGTAAGAATAATTTTCTATCCACACAGAACATTCCTTATTCCGCCCATGTAATCTCAGAGCATGCCCCCGTTATGTTTTTCAAATTTTTGCGATTACACCGACGGCAATAACCCCATACAGCCCCTCTTTGATCAACGCGCCACACGCCCAGATGAATCCAAATGAGTCCTGTAATTCAAAGCAGTAAAATTCCGGAGCCTCGGGAGCTGTTTTGGCGAATCCTTAATGCACCCAATCGATTCATCGGCATTTCTGTATTGTCTGTTTCCGAATCTCACCCTCCATTGTTTCGGCGCGTTATTTTAATCAGCGCCGCTCGCGAAAGAAGTCATCATTTTCAACTTTTAGCCTCTCTGGCTCACGGGCCCCCATGTGATTGCGCCAAATCCACCGAGTCGTGGAGTCTTATCTTAATGCATAATTCAACCCCTTGTCGCATCTCTGCGTCCTCACTTCCCCGGACTTGCTAGCGTTTATATTTTTTCTAGTTGTTTCAACCCCTTGCATTAGCGCGACTTCGAAGGCCGCAATAAAAAAGTCACCTGCAGACACAACACGTTTTCGACGTGAATTGTGCGGGGCTAAATAGGGAACGTGCGCGAACGTGAAATCGGGGAGAACGAAGGCCCAAATAATTCGAATGTATATACCCTTTTTTGAGTCTCCTACTCTTTATTAAATTTTTGATAGTTTTCCCCTTCTATTTTCTTTAGGAAATATTCCAGCACTTCGAGATTCGAGTTGATAATTGTATTGCTGGTTGCATACCCAAAAGATAGTACCGTCACGGACATATTTTTATTCAACGCTACGAAAGGAGAACAGTGTTCTTAAAACTTGGACTACTGCTTCATTTAGGTCAATTAAACACTTCCGTTCAATGAAAAATGAACATCCTTACGTTTCAAATATACAAAAATTTGTTTCATCTTGTAAATCAAGTACTTGGAAGTAATGTCCAGTGCATAAAATTTACATTTAAATTAACATTCTCCGTAAGTACCAGCCATCGTCTCCAAGTCACTACCAAGCCGCTTCTTCCACAAGCCTGCACTTCTCAGGTACCATCTCTGTCACTATCAGAACCTTCGATCCATTTCCAAACCTCCCTCGCCCCGCCCCTTCCCTTCAAATTTCAAACCACCACATTCCTCGAAAATTCCTTCTCCGTCCTCAATGTACCCTCCCGCACCCCTCCGCAGACTTTTGAGGTCAACTCTACTCGCGTTGTGGAATTCGTGTTGGGCCAGGCCCCAGCATTCATACCATACCCACTCCATTTCCCTGGTAGTGTTGACGTCTGCTCGACTTGAGTCAGTACCATCGGCCATGTTGACTTACGGACGCGTAGTACCCGCGTTGTCCCAGAAAACCCCCTCATCTTTGTGCCGCGACGCGCCCCAGTGAAGTGAACGCCCCTGCGCCGCCCCCAGTGTCCGTCGACCGCGAAAAAGGCCCCCAAATCAGCGTACGCCCGTCCAATATGTGAGTGCGCCACTTCGCTGACCTACATCGATTTAAAAGCCAGCAGAGTATGTAATGTACAGTTCGCGTTAAGAGGTTAAGGTGACATGTTGTAAACATGTCCAATAAGAAACAGCCGTTCGTATACAAGCCACCAGCGGACTCGGCCAACACTGCACCCCCGCGATACCAGCCGCCGCCGCTGCCCCCGACGACGGGCGGGCAAGCGGGCATACTGAAGCACCACCCGAAAGATGCCAAGCAGTACCCGCCCCCGAAGCTCCCAGAGAACGTGAGGGTGCCACAGCCGGGAAAACCGTATCCGTACTACCCCGAGCGGACCGTCACTCAGGTGCAGGTGAGGGCGCAGATTAAATACCCAAAGGTCACGGTACTGATAAGTGAGCGGTCCCAGATTTTATCAGAAGGTAGTACCTGTCATATTTTAATTTTTAATTATAATTTCTTGTAGTTTACCATTTGGAAAGGTGCTTGAAACAGACCAGAAATTGGGTCTCAGTTGCTTGAATGAGCCTATATCTGAGAATTTTAAAGTCATGGTAGACAGATTTTATTGACCGTACTATCACGCAGGTGCAGGTGAATGCTACCGCGCGTGATGCAAATTAAAGGTGTAAAGGTTAAAGTAATAATGGCATTAAATGGTTGAGCTTTCTTTTATGGATTAGATATAAATGAAAATATTTACCAAAAGGTACTACCTATTAAAATCTAACAAGATGGTACCTAATTATTGTAAATGTGCTGCGGTGTTTTAGATGATTTCTTACACACATTATGCAGTCGTTGACTTTGATAACTTCTTGTTTATAAATTTTATATTCACAGCACGAAAATTTTATGGTCGTACCGTCACGCAGATGCAGTTGAGTAGTACCGGGAGGGATGCAAATTAAACGTCCAAAGGTTAAAAAAACAATAATAAAGCTTGAGCTTTCTTTTATGCATCAGATATAGAGGAGAGTTTTTATCGCGTGGAGGTCCCACACTTTTTCTATTTCCTTCGTTTCCAACCGGATACCTAGAAAATTTTTTCGACCGCATCTTCACGCACATCTAGGTAAGACAGGATGCGGATTAAAACTACAAAGATCGAAGTCATGTAGTGAAGTTTTTTGTGAACGTTGGAAGTAAATAAATACAAGGAAAAAAATGGAAGATACAGCTGTTTGCCATAGTCTGGTTATTTTTATTCAATGCAGCATATGGAAAGTGGCACTTAACCTTCTCTGGACACTCTTGAACTCAACTGTAAAATTCACAAGCGAGTTTATGATGAATTGTTTAACATACTGTCACATAAAACTGTCCTGTTACTGCTCTAAATTTTTACACGATTCTTGGCAAACGTGATCGAAGCAGATCATAAATTATACAGCAAGTTTAATAAGATACGCGGACGTTTATAATTTTTAATTCAAAAGTAGACAAGCAGTTTTTCGAAGATCCTTAAGGGGACTCGCTAGAGGAAGTATTTTTTTTTTCCTTTTTCCTATGATAAAACGATATTAATACAGATATATTTACATCAAACTGCAGCTTTTTTCATGTTCTAAACCCCTGAAAACAGTTCATTCAACTAAAAAAATGTCACAGAGAAATATCTTAAAAAAAGCACCATTGTCCTCTTCCATTGTTTTTTCTATTTTTTGTATGTTAAACATCATAGAATCGCCTGAAAATCCTCACAGTGAGAAAGTAACGTATTTTAAAGGTCCCTGTCATATTAAATATGTGTTAGTAGTACAATGTATTTAAATAATAATGTCTTTATTAAAACCAAAATATATAAATTAATCAAAATACTACCCTAAAGTAATTATTAGCATTCTAGGCCTACCCGCCCTCTATTTTCTCAGAGGGATCTCATTTGCCAAAATCAGTCATATCTTAGCAAGTACTAGCCCCGCCCACCCACCCTCTCTTTTCTTAGAGGGTATGTCATTTGCCAAAATCGGTCTTTTATTTTAGCAGGTACTAGCCCCGCCCACCCACCCTATTTTTGTTAGAGGATATCTCATTTGCCATAATCAGTTTCATCTTGGCAGCTACTAGCCCCGCCCACCCACCCTCTCTTTTCTTAGAGGGTATGTCATTACCAAAATCAACTTTGAACTTGGTCTTTAGTGTTTAGTTGGTTATGCTTTAATTGATTTTTCTTTTGTTGGTTTTGTTTTTGTTTATAATTTCTAAATGTCTTACTAAATATTTTTTTTTTTGGTTTATTTATTATTGAAAAATAACAGCAAATCAACTTACGGTGGTTTTATGACCGATTCCCCATAATTGTCTTCCCTTTTACTCACGTCAGCTCAGGTAGATTTTAGGAAGATTTCTGGTTGCATTTAGGGAACAAATGGCGCCTAATTCAAACTAGCCTGTTGTCTGCGTTCCACCTTAACTCCGATCCAGGTCGGGCATTTACTAAGCCGACACCTTATCTCCGGTCCGACAAATACTCACCTTAATTCTAATTACACTTATTTAGTGTGAGAACCATGAAGGTAGGCGGGAACACATTCAGTTCATTTTGGATTAGGAAACGAAGTAAAAATTAATTTAATAATTGTATATTTGACTAATATTAGCGTTCATCAATTTACAAAATTTGCTATAAATTATAATATAATGCTCTTATGACTTATGAGAGACATTTTCTAAAATCGTATCTAGTTTTCATTATGTCTACTGCAATTTTTTCCCCATTTAGTTTCATATTTGTATATATTTCTTTCTATTTTAAAATTGGAATCTAAAAAAGGGCAGCTAAAATTTATGCAAAATTTACATTCGATAGTCTTATCAGTTTGGACCGGAGTTAAGGCGAGGGTTTAAGGTACGCCAGGTACCAGTGTAACGACATATGATTTTGGACCGGAGTTGATGGGCACCTGTTTTTTTTTTTTGTCCCTGGAATCGATTTTCATGCTTCCACAAAAAAACCGGGTGCTACAACTTGTGTCATTTCCCCAATTGTAAATAACTCCTCACCTGCTTTGAAACTTCGTAGATTATTATAAATAGTTTGGGACCGCTGACTTAGACCTGAAGCCTATCAATTTCTGCATCTCCAATAGTGCCAACAGTATCCAGTATCTACTTACCTAGATTACTGCATTACGACGAATACGATCCAACTGCTTTCAATCGATCGCTTCACTCTCTCTCTTTCCCCAGATCCACCAGCCGCGCCCCCTCGACGAGCCCGGCGTGCCCCAGGTGCAGCACCGGCCGCCCTTGCGCTACGACGACGAGTTCCTGCGCCCGGAGATGCTCAAGTTCGTGCGGAAACCCGACGACCCGCGCCTGGCCGACCCCAGGCACATGCAGAGCATCCTCGGCGAGCTGCGCGCCCTCAAGGAGGCCAACCAGCGCCTCGCCGACGACAACCAGGAGCTGCGCGACCTGTGCTGTTTCCTCGACGACGACCGCCAGAAGGGGCGCAAGCTGGCCCGCGAATGGCAGCGCTTCGGCCGCTACACCGCCAGCGTGATGCGGCAGGAGGTGTCCGCCTACCAGAACAAGCTCCGCGAGCTGGACAACAAGCAGCAGGAGCTGATCAAAGACAATCTCGAGTTGAAGGAGTTGTGTTTGTATCTGGACGAGGAGCGCGGCGGGAACGCGATCTGTCCGTCGTGCGGGAGTGCGCCGAGTGGCAATTTGAGGGATGACGGAGATGGGTCCAGTTCTAGCACCAACGCGGACGAGCCCGCTGTGCCGCAGCAGTTCACCACGGGGGGGAATCCGCCCAGGAGGTCTGCGAGCAGGGAGAGGATTCTCCACGAGAACCTGGCGAGGCAGCGGAACACGTTCAATGGTGGGGGTAATAGGTTACTTAAGCGGGTTTGGGGGTTTTGATTGGAGTAGTGTAGTTGTAAAGACCCACTTGAGGCAGGAAACGAGTCATTATGAAAAATATACTTTTAGTGTAAAAAAAGTGGGACGCGTGGATGCGGTGTTAATTATGAAAAAGTTTTATGGTTGTTTTATTCTACAAATTTTAATAAGGAAGTGATGAAAGTCGCACGTCGGGACATACTTTCTTCTTAAGGTTGATATCTTCCTGATGTCTATTAAAACAGCTAAGGTCTTGCGCATGTTCCATAGGCAACAAATCAGGAGATCAAGCTGGCCATGACAAAAGGGACAACCTAACAACTAGGTCTTGAAATATGTTTTCCATTTATCCTATGGACCCAAAGTTTACTGAACCTGAAATCGATCTCTTGTTTGTAATCATAAGTGGCAGTAGACGATCTTGACGTTCTCGACTAACTGTTCCAACAACTCTTGAAATGATAAACTTCTGTCTCATCCAAATAGTACCTTTAATTGACACAATTAATTGACTTGCAACAGAATGATGGGTTTTATGGTTAGAAAAATAAGACAAGTAAAAAAAAATAATTTTTATTTTCAACCTCTGGGGTGGGATTTTGTTTCTTGAACGAAGTGATAAATTTTCACTTGCGATAAATGTCATTGCGTGGCTTTTAAATGAAAAGTTGGCATTTATTCTTTGCATATAAGCTTATTAAATGCTCAAAAGTTTACAATTACCTTAATTTTAAGAACATATAACTCAGAATTACGATTTTGAACTTCTATTTTGACATAAATTTCGAGGTTATGTCTCCAAAATTTATCACTTCATTCAGAGTTACCGAGAAAATATCACTCCATGAAGACTTGATTTCGTGACAGAATCGAGAAATGTGACACAAATGTCGCACCAACTCAGCCTCTCAACCAATCAGCAAACGAGATTTTATCGCTATCGAGTTTTTTTCGATCGAGAAACAAAATCGCACCCCTGGTACATCTTTGAAAATTTCATTAATTACTACCACGCAATCGAAAAGAGAACGAATTAAAGTTGGCTGTGAGGTCAATTGTATAGGTCACTTCATTCTACCAGCTGACAGGTCTGCCACATGTCAACGTCAACAATTAAAGGCGTGGTTATGTGGCACCCAGTGACGAAGTGATTTGTTAAAGGTTATGTTGATTTACGTCAAATGGAAGACAGTAGCACCATCCAAAGCTTCATAGGCAACGCCAACTATAATTCATTTAATTTACGATCACACGGTACTTAAAGCAGCTACTGTAGAATAAAGAGACTATAAAACTTTTTCATAAGCATCTAGTCACATTTTTCTGTTAGTTTTACGGCCGGGATACAGTAAGTACGCCAATTACATGTTTAAGTCGGAAAATGTTGTTTTGATTGGAGGAAGTTGATCACGTGATCGGCAAATTGAGTGTTGTGTCCGACAACGGAGTCTAAGACAGTGATTTGCAAATACATACATTATTAATAAGGAGTTCGTGACGTCATATGCTCCACTGGAGTCCATGCACTAGATACGCGTTATGCAGTGTTGCACAATAGAAAAATGACGCTACAGTTTTGATAAAATAAGTTTTGTTGGAAAATGGACCAAATAGTCACATAGATGATTAACAAAAATTAATATTTTTAGTAATTTATACAGGGTGATGAAAATTGACGTATAAGTGTGATGGTACGTTTTTACGCAAAGTTTTGAAAATATTATATATCCCTAATTATTTTATTTATTGTCATTTTTGTTAACTTTCATCGGAATTATAGACTGTCAATTAAATTCACATTAAAAAGTCAGAATTATTAAGTTAATTCTTCAACTTTCGAGCTTATACGTCATTTTCTCATCACCCTGTATGTTGGCAACATTTAAAATTTTATGGTGATTTATGATCTTATTAGCCCTAAAGGGCGCTTATGTCAAAATCGACAATTGTAACTGACATCCTAACATTGCTGCCAATAATTCAGAATTGCCAATCCAAAAAAAAATTTTACTTATGACATGACCTGTATAAACAAAATGACATTTTACACTAGAGAGAAGCCTAAATTGTTTTTAACGAGTAATAGTTTAATAACAATAGATGAATTATATCCTCTGTGAACTGGTTGAACAATTGAAAGTTGTTCATAAATCCCACAAAATTTTCACTACTTTATTGATATGTCAAACATAAAAATAATGGTTAACTTTTACTAGAGAAAAGAGTTATTATTACTTGTACTAATAATAACTCTTAGGTAGGTTTCAAAATTAAAGGTGGATTTATAAACTTGTCGTTGACGTTGCCCTCGTAAGATAAATACGCAGCGAAGGTATGCGTCGTTTATATCATCCGTTGACATTGCCGTTGAAAGTTGGCACGCCGTTGGGGTGACGTTTGAAATGACCAACTTCTAACTTTCGCCGTTACATTGCCGTTGGGTTTTCAACCAATCAAATTGCGGTAGTGTGCCAAAAAAGATTAGGTATTATAACTGCAAGGACTTACATTTTGCCCTTTTTTCTTACTATGTGTATTGTGTAGTCCCCTTTTCACAACAAGAAAGGTAAAACATGTTTAAAATGGTATATTTTTGTAGGAGAGTATCGATTTTCCAATTAGGCTCCGCCCTTCGCTCTGACAACGAATGAAAAATTCATCACAAGTGAGCTTGGGATGGATATGGGTGGGGCTTAATTTTTGGCTTGTTTTTTTCTTAATATACATAGTATTCTTCGAACAACACGATACTCAAAAACATGTTTTTTACTTCTTGTAGAGAAATAAGGATTTTGCAATTAACCTCCGCCCTCTTGGCTCACGACGAATAAAAAAATCATCACAATTAAGATAGGGCGGGTGGGTGGGGCTTACGTTTTGCCGTTTTTTCTTAAAATGTGTAGTCATCTTTTCACAACAAGAAACGTAAAACATGTTTAAAATTTGCATAGGGAAATATTTATTTTGCAATTACGCTCCGCCCCTCGGAATGAAAAATTTATCGATCGGAACGAAGAGGTGGGGCTTCTCTTTTGGTTTTCTTTTTTAATTAATATATTTAGTTTTCTTAGTATAACACTATTACTTAAAAACATATTTGACATGGTAATTTCTCATAGAAAAATAAGGATTTTTTAAGCTTCGCCCCTCGGCTTACGACGAATAAAAAATATCATCCGAATTGCGATAGGGCGGGTGGGCGGAGCTTATATTTTGCCTTTTGTTTCTTAATATACATTGCCATCTTTTCGCAACAAGAAACTTGAAACATGGTTAAAATGATCCATTTTTGCAAGGAAATATGGCTTTTGCAATGGGGTGGAGCCTAATTGCAAAATCGATATCTCCTCATACAAATTTTCCATTTTAAATATGTTTTAAGTTTCATGTTGTGAAAAGAAGTATACACATGGTAAAACAAAAAGGAAAAATGTAAGCCCGCCCACCCGCCCTATCTCAATTGTGATGATTTTTTTTTATCCATGGCGAACCAAGGGGGCGGAGTTTAACTGCAAAAATACTTATTTCTTTACAAGAAATTAAAAGCATGTTTTTGAGTATCGTGTTGTTGAAACAATACTATAATGATTAGGAAAAAAAGACAAAATATATAACCCGCCCACCCACCCCGTCCCGATTGTGATTTTTTTTTTCTTAGAAACCTAAAGCACGTTTAAAATGGTAAATTTTTCGTAGAGGAATAAGGATTTTGCAGTTAAGCTCCGCCTTTCTAGCTCACGACGAATAAATAAAATCATCACAATTGAGAGAGGGTGAGTGGGCGGGGCTACATTTTGCCCTTTTTTCTTAGTATGTGTAGACTTATTTCGACAACGAGAAACTTAAAATATGTCTAAAATGGTAAATGTTCGTGAAAATCAACTTAAATTCGCCACTTTTTTTCTACATTCCCTTTAAATACGGCAAAAGTTGGACATCAAAGTTACTATCAACGGCAACTTGGTAACGGAGTTTATAAATGACAATTTTCAGCTCTAAAAGCACCGTTAGCGGGAACTACCACGTCAACAGAAAGTTTATAAACCCCACTTTAACCTAATAAACGTCAAAGTGACACTTTTCCTATGTAAATCTCAAAAGTCTATGCATAAAAAATTGTTTATATATCTTGCTTTACATAGAGGTTTGGCATTGGAATAAGTTGCGTTAACGACATTTCATACACAGGAGGTAATGTAAATTTCAAGATTTCGGTCAAATTTGGGAGAATTACGTATAAATGACTTTCTCTACACAGAAAAACATGTGTCTAGTGTCTAGTCGCAACGCTATGGGAAAAAATCAGGAGTGCTAATTGTGAAAATGCACGAAAACGAAACAGAATTAATGTTTTCTTATTTCAATTCACAAAACAATGTATTCAGAGTACAAGAAAACGGGATGTAAATTGTATGCAGTCTCAATTTCCGTAGTAAGATGCAAATATCCCAAAGGCCTTTGTTAATCTGTGTATACTACGTGCATCTGCATACGTTAATCGAAAGATAACGAAACAAATTGAGTAAATTTGCCACATCTAAGTTATAGCAGACGGTTCATAAATCTTACTCCGGAATTACATAGATAGCATATATGTTGAAAACATGATTTCGCAACATTTATCACTGCATTTTTAAGAATTTGCCGCTTCAGTGAGATAGGTACAAACTATCATCAGGCAGTTGCTTAAAAAGTTAGGTTATGATTGACATTAATAAAATTATGACAATTATCACACCGAGGCGGCAAAAGCGCCGTATAATAATGCCCAAATTTCGTACAAACTGGATGAACCGAGCAAACAGACGTACGAACTCCATACTCCAAGTGTATATAATCATAGACTACATCGAATGAATAGCAAATCCTATACAAAATTAACCTCCCACGAAACTTGCCCGCTTCGAGTTTCAAACAAACTAAAATTTTCATTTTCATCAGAATCGCGCCGAAATTAGCCCAACACACCAAATTAATAACGAATAAAACAAAGATGTCTTCGCCCGAGCGTACATTGCAGCAATTCACTTTCACACATCGCTTCCTCCAGTGAGAACCTTCTTTTCCCACTGCATTCTACCCATAATTACTCTCCCACAATCCGCGCTTCCGGAATCTCCAGTTCCGCGATGTAAACCCCGAATTATTCATACAACGACAACCCAAATTCTTGACCTTTTCATCCGTTTATCGTTATATCGCACTCCATAACCGAACGGGTTTTTTTTCCAGACCAAATAATGCAATACGTTCGGAATCTGGAACAGCGTGTCAAGCAGCTGGAGGAGGACAAACGGGCTCTCACGCACAAGATCAACCAGATCGCGGCGACGACCGGCGACCCGAGTCTGGCCATTCCCCCGGACGCGGGAGTCGGGGTGCTGAGTGGACGTCCAGAGGCCGTCGTGCGAGCTCTCCAGGTTCTCGAAGTGCGGGAACAGCTCGAGAGGGAGGGAAGAATGCCCGCTGAAAGGGCGGAGAACTTGTCTGACAGTACCTCTCAGGATATGGACGATGGGGAGAAAGCTCTTGTTAGGGAAATGTGCAACGTAAGTTGGTTTTTGCTTTGAGGGTCTTAAGGGGGCTGGGTCTGACGCGAGTTTATTTTATTGGGGTTGTCGGGAGGTTTCAAAGGTGCATCCACACAAAGGACTACGATCTTTAGTGGAACGCTCGCAACAGCGGCTGAAGTTCTATGATTTCGAGCTCTAAATTTACTAAAATCTAAAAGTATTTGGCCATTAAGGGTTCGGTTTTACCATATTTTGTAATTTGGTAGACCATTATTACTGTTAAAAATTAGTATAGGCGGGTTTGTTTGATTTACTTCCGTGCTAAAAGCACGATCGGTCGATAGAATGATTACCAATTTTAGTAAATGTACGATTTTTATTTGTTTTGTTATTAACACGTTCGCCGGCAAATCGGTCCCATGGCACTCCATATACTGCAAAACCGATTAGCGTTGTAATCCTTGGGGTCTATTTGGCGTTTGTTTAGGATATGATTTAATTCAGTTTGGTAGAAAAACGATGAAAACATAATTATACAAACTGCTTCACCTGGTTCAAACATAGTTTATATTGTACTTTGACATTTCGTGATTTGTCGCCGCATTGTGATGATGGACAATCAATATATTAATCTAATTTGCTTAAGCTTTTCCAGTGTGTTCGTGATAAGTAGGCAACCATTTATTAAGATCGCATGATAGAATGCTACCCAGCTTAAGAGTTATTTCAAAACTAGTAAAAATTGACCTACTCAGTTAAGTAGAGGATTTTCCGGACTCGTGAGACCAACATTAAAACAAAAATTACCCACAAAAACATCAATAAGCCTTTGTGAAACGTTTTTCAAACGAAAATTCTACTACTTAAAATGTAGATTTATACAATCAGTCTCTTTGTCGAAATTAAGCCACGAACGTGTAACAAATTATGCAACAAAAAGATGAAGTTGCGAAGTTCATTATTTAGGGCTCTTCGACCACCAACCTTACTAACAAAATTATAAATGTCTAGTGGCCAGTCAAACGCTGGTATGTGTAGTGGTACCTTAAGGCGTCGAAAAATCACTATGGAAATTTGATCCATTATCTATGCTAATGCGACAGTTTAGTTTGGCTGCTTTATTTAAATACAATCGCCTGTTATCTTGTATCTACATTTTGAGCTTGACTTATGAGAAATTACGTTTTTGAGATGTTTATTGTTAAGCCCATTTTAAGATTACCATTATTGTGTCAGTAAAGTGGCAGCGCTGATCTTGATCTTCTTCCGTAATCCTTGGAGTGTATGCTAAATTTAATTAAGAAACTGTACGATATGGAAATATTCTTGGCAATTCGACTAGAGGAACGACCAAATTTAATGTACTAGCTTGTCTTGATGTTTCCTACACACATAGTATTGTTTTAGTTACTCTGACTGAATACTGCAACATTTATAAATTTATCAGTGTCAATGCAGACGTCGCCATTTAATTGCATTTTTTATATACGCACAACTTTACTCGATAGTGGAGTTTAGGTCGAGCGTGTACTTGTGGGTTCTTACGTACTTACGTATGTATAGAACTGTAAATGATGAATGAAAAATGCGTGTTATTTAACGAGGAAGTTCGTGCTGTAGCAGTGGTAACACTGTGAAGGCAACTAAGTAGTGATTCAACTTATAATCCTGGGTAATAGCGTGTGGCTCTCCAAAGTGGACTAATGCATAGCGTGCAATCTGTACACTTTAAAATCTCTTCAAAGCCCTTTACCCTAAGACTCCGGTATTTTTGTTATATTCGATATATTATACATTGAATTTAAAGCCCCTTATTCAAGGTACTTAGAATGAGTACACTAAAGACCGTGTACTAAGTAAAACGCGACTGAATTTGTAAATTAACCTTAATATGTACAGTAAAGTGGGATTTATAAACTTGCTGTTGACGTTGCAGTTGATAGTAATTTACAAAAATTTACCATTTTAGACATATTTTAAGTTTCTTGTTGCCGAAATAAGTCTACACACATTAAGAAAAAAAGGCAAAATGTAGCCCCGCCCACCCACCCTATCTCAATTGTGATGATTTTTTTATTCGTCGTGAGCCAAAAAGGCGGAGCTTAACTGCAAAATCCTTATTTCTCTACGAAGAATGAAAAACATGTTTTTGAGTATCGTGTTGCTCAAAGAATACTATGTATATTAATAAAAAAATAAAGCCAATGATAAGGCCCCACCCATACCCGCCCCCAACTCAATTTTCATTCGTTGTCAGACCTAGGGGCGGCTCTTAATTGCAAGATCCATATTTGTCTACAAGAATTTACTATTTTAAACATGTTTTAAGTTTCTTGGTCTGAAAAGACGACTACGTATATTACGAAAAAAGGTAAATATATGCCCCGCCCACCCGCCCTATCTCAATTGTGATGATTTTTTTAATCAACTAGAGCCAAAGGGGCGGAATTTAACTGCAAGATCCGTATTATTTCTCTACAAGAAATTACCATGTAAGACATGTTTTTGAGATCGTGCTATTCAGAAAATACTATATACATTGTACATATATTAAGAAAAAATTAAAGCCAAAGGTTAAGTTGAAGTTTTCATTCGTTGGCAGACCTAGGGGCGGGGCCTAATTGTAAAATTCATGTTTCCCTAACAAAATCTACCATTTTAAACTAGTTTTAAGTTTCTAAGAATAAAAAAAACCATCACAATTGAGATGGGGGTGGGTGGGCGGGGTTTATATTTTGCCTTTTTTTCTTAATGTACATAATATTCTTCTTGTTGTAAAGAAATAAGTATTTTGCAGTTAAGCTCCGCCTCCTTGGCTCACGGCGAATGAAACAATCATTACAATTGAGATAGGGCGGGTGGGCGGGCTTACTTTTCGCCTTTTTGATTTAATATATGTTAATAATAAATTTGTATAAGGAAATATCGATTTTTTAGTTAGGCTTCGCCTCATAATTGCAAAATCCAAATTTCCTTCGAAAATCGTACCATTTTAGCCATGTTTCACGTTTCTTGTTGTGAAAAGGTGGCTATGTATATTAAGCAAAAAAAAAGGCAAAATATAAGCCCCGCCTATCTCGATTCTGATGATTTTTTTTATTTGTCGTAAGCCGAGGGGCGGAGCTTAATACAATATTTATTTTTCCACGAGAAATGTCATAGTGCGTCATTCAAAACAGAAAATTAAACAAAACAAATTGTCATTTATCAACTCCGTCGCTAAGTTGGCGTCGATAGTAATTTTGATGTTCAACTTTTGCCCCATTTAAAGGGGTAAGATTTAGGTTGATTACTCCAAAAATTTATCATTTTAGATATGTTTTAAGTTTCTTGTTTTCGAAATAAGTCTACTAAGAAAAAAAAAAAACAAAATGTAGCCCTCCCCCCATATATCAATTGTGATTTTTTTTTATTCGTTGTGAGTTTAACTGCAAAATCCTTATTTCTCTACGAGAAATTATTAAAAACATGTTTTTGAGTATCGTGTTGTTCAAAGAATACTGTGTACATTAAGAAAAAAATAAAGCCAACGATTCCCACCCCCAACTCAATTCTCAAAATTGTAATGAATTTTTCATTCGTTATCTAATCGAGGCCTTAATTGCAAGATCCATATGTATTTGTTTACAAGAATTTACCATTTTAAACGTGTTTTAAGTTTCTAAAAATAAAAAAATATATATCACAATTGAGATAGGGTGGGTGGGCGGGGTTTATATTTTGTTTTTTTTTTCTTACACAACACGATACTCAAACATGTTTTTAATTTCTTATAAAGAGATAAGTATTTTGCAGTTAAGCTCCGCCCCCTTGGTTCACGGCGAATAAAAAAAATCATTACAATTGAGACAGGGCGGGTGGGTGGGCTTACATTTTACCTTTTTGTTTTAACATGTGTAGATTTTTTTTCACAACATGAAACTTAAAACATAGAAAATTTGCATAAGGAAATATCCATACCATTTTAACCATGTTCTAAGTTTTTTGTTGTGAAAAGATGGCTATGTATATTACGAAAAAAAAGCCAAAATATAAGCCCCGCCCACCCGCCCTATCTCAATTCTGATGATAATTTTTATTCGTCCTAAGAGAAATTACCATGTGAAATATGTTCTTAAGTAATTGTGTTATACAAAGAAAACTAAATGTTATAATTAAAAAAGAAAACCAAAAGAGAAGCCCCACCCATTTACTATGTACAATTTTGAAGTGACGTCATCACATTATTTAGGGGGATGATTAGAGAATTTTTGGTTAGCGTTTTACCATCTAGATGATCTTCCTAATATAAATACAAAATTTGACGAAACAATCGGCCCAGTACTTGCGGAGATTATCTGTTTAATAAAAATCCGAACCGACGGCAGACAGGCAGACGGAAACAGGATATCTATTTCTTGGTACTCTAGGGGTCATGAGAGGTCGAGAAAATGTAAAAGTAAAGAGTCGGTCGACGGACTCGATTACAATACTGCCTTCGCTTACGCTCGGGCCCTACATCTTTTACATCTTTTGTTTCCAAAGCCTCCTCTTAATATGTATTTAAATTAAAAAAAAAAACATAGTAATAAAGAAACACTTCGAAGTTAGGAATTAGAATTACTGAAATGTATTTAATTTTTATTTAAATACAAATTACTACAACTAGTATTTTTTGTCCTAATATCTTCAGAACGGGTAGTGGATTGAAAGTTTGGACATTGACATTTATCGTTGTTAAATTGTATTAGAGCCATGAACAGTTACAAATTTTAAATAACACGAACTATGTATTTACACAAAATAAAACAGAAATGACGTGTCGAAGAATTCGCCACTTCACAGATTAGAAAACCGTTAATTAATTGGCTTTACACTAATAGCTCGACTGTAATTTCGAGTTCAATCGTGATGAATTTTTGTCCCCCCTACTTCGGACGATTTTCCTTCATATACTACTACAATTTGGTTGGTTGAAAACCCAACGTCAGCGACAAGTTTATAAATCGACCTTAGTTTGCGGAAAATGTCGCGATTCAAGCATACGAGCGCAGCGAGCTGTGAATTTCCTACCTTGCAATGACTAAAAGTTCCCTTGTATAATGGTCCAACTCTGACTTCGTTTTTATGGCACTGCAATCTCAAGTATTTTTATTGCAAGTATTAGGAACTCTATTGAAAAATCATCTTGAGGCCTATTGTGGAACACTTAACTTCTTCACAATAGAATGCAGTCATAAAAACGAACCAGCAGTTGGAACACTATACCTGAGTTCACAGCACTTTCAAATTGTATTTGAAGCTATTAAAACATTTTACTTATTTATCCAAAACAACTATTCAGTAAAATATAAGAAAATGATATAATTGAACCTCGCAAATTACGCAATAACAGCATTGTTGGATAAGTTTACACTCTAATATTACGAAAGCATGACAATGTAAGACACGATTAAATAAAACTACAAAACTGCATAGTTTAGCATTTATAAGGAATTGATTAACATTGAATTTCTGAGTAGAACACTCCTTTTTTCATTATAGACACTTCAAAGAACACTTAAAGTAAAAACTGTTCCAAAATTCGGTCACAGTCGAAGAAAACTTACAATGCACACAGTGGGAAAAGTACACCTTAAATTAAAAATATTTATTCTCGTCACGGAAGGAAATACGCTGCAAAATCCCCAACCTTGTAACAATCAGATGACGTAATGGCCAAGGTTTTTAAAGTGCAACTTACGGTACCCTTCTCTGAAAAAACTTGTTTTCTAAAGATTGAATTCTTTAGTTTTGGTCGTCACTTGTTATTGTATGCTTTATACATTCAGCGCAGTGTTACTTTACCTGCCACTTTTTGCGAAATACCGGTTGACTATTTAATATTTTGATGTTTTTTATTAAGTTGGCAACATTAATTCAGAGTTACCAACTGAAAATCAATAGTCACCCGTATTATATAACTGTCTCATTCAAAGTGTTTTTGTAGGTTGTCTGGCGAAAGTTGGAAGAAGGTCCCTCCTCCAGAAGATGAGCCGATTCTTGCCTAATCTTGCATAGTACAAGCGTCTTGCCATTGGAACGACGTTACACATCGAATTATGTATCTTGAAGAGTATTATTTTAAATATCTATTTATTTTTAATCTATTAGGCCCGTTCGAGGCGCCACCAAATTGGACTAAATTTGGGGCGAACGTGATGCGTCGCGTTCGTGTCAGATTTATTTATAAATTTCGTGTCGTGCCGAACGGGCCTTACAAGTACCTAATTTAGTGTGGTTGTAAGCATTGTTATTTTTGTACAGATTTTTTTGAAATAAAACTTTATCATATGACGCGCATTTTCACATCATCGCTAATTGTTTTATATTTAGAGCTTATTATCCTGAAGTAATTGTTGTTTACGATACCAAGACGATACCGCGACCTTCAACACGGAATTAGTGTTGTTTGTCGCGTTTTGGGTAATGTGTGCGATGAAGCGCTGGGGAGGTATGTACGCAGCCTTTTTCCTATGTAGTTTTTATTTTAAAATGACATATAAATCCTTAAAGTGTTACAACAAAACTAGGATCTTTGTTTTATACACAAAACACGGTACTAGCGGTGTGTACCCAAAAAAATAAAATAAAACAAACAAAAATAGGATGATCCTCGCGATGAAAGCATCAACACCCAATTACTTGAAAAAACGCACACAAATGGAAATGCCAAAAAATTACTCATTATAAATACCCCTTAAGTATTCAGTCATCATCAGTAACGATGACGGCGACTGCTCCTGCGGTAGTCGTCGTACCTCCGCGAGGACCTTTGATGTCTTCTACCATAGTCCCTCTCGTAGTAGTCACGGTCTCTGTCTCTGTGGCGTCTAGACCGATCGTAGCGTGAATCGTAACTAAAAATATTGATACCATAATGAGCACCATACTCTGACTCATACAGGGCCAAAAAGCTATGTCAGTTCCACACCAAGTCACCAAGTGGCATATATGGACACCCATCAAACAAATCCATATAATATGCTTAACCAAACCATATAAATTAATACCATGTGCCTGACAAATCACAAAACAACAATTAGGTAAAGAGTTTTGGTGCACTTCGAAGGAAACAGAAACGCCATCACGAGACAAAGCAATCTGCACACACGCCCTCCAAGCGGTGCCTCGGGCTCGGCTTGTAGGCCCGAACCGAAAAATCTCGGACGATCACCCAGTACATATCCGCATCTTCAACCTGACAACCCCGTTAAGGCGAAATTTGCACAAACACACAGATTGCCTTTCTTAAAAAAATCAGTTGCTAGTTGGGTTTCATTTTGCTACACGAGCCCGAACTGACTTATCAACCCGTGTTGCTAAATCAATTACCAATCACGTAAAACATCTCCAAGTGCATCAATATTCAACTCCAAACTCAAACACCCTACACTTCATACAGACCCGGATATACCGTATCTGTGTATCCGGAAACGGGCCTGTAAACCAAGCTTCACACGCACCCCGATGCTTTGTCCCGTAATCAAACAAGTGTATGTTTACCGTGAGTCTCGGTCCCGGTCCCTCTTATCTCCGCCGCCCCCGTTCAACTCCGGGCAGTCCCTGTAGAAGTGCCCCGAATACCCGCACTGATAGCACCGCATATTGCTATTAAAGAATCGTCTTCCGGATCCTCTGGTCCTGGGACGGGCGTGCGTCACCCGTATCCTGCTGCCTGCCACCTCCCTGCAACCCCAAACGTAACAACAGAAACACAACCCGCTCACCCTTACATCCCGTCGGTGGCCTTGAGGGCTGCGTTCGCCGCCTTCTTGTCCTTGAAGACCGCGAAGCCGAAGCAGGGCGTGCTGTTGGTCATCCACACCTAGTGGCGCAGAAGCGAGGAAAAATTTACAAGAAGTGTTGGCACTGAACCAGTTTAAACCGATTTTTTGCGGTTGCCAGTTCGTTCAAAGCACCAGTTGCGAAAGTCTGTAGACGTTATAAAAACTCTACAATAAGGCTCAGTTTTATTGAACACAACAAAGCGTACCTGGTTTATGGCTCTATAAAATATTGTAACAGATACGTTTAGGAATATTTTTTACGATAACCCGTGCGAGTAAAAGTAAAAATATTTTCCCGCTTAAATTTTGTACAAAAGTTTGCATTCCAGACTATTAAAGTTTCATTTTTCCATCTGGGGGTTTAATCACGGCTATGTTGGCAGCAGTCAGACCTAATGACACCAAAATAGACAAAGCTATTTTTTATGTTATAATCAAATTAGAAAATCAATAAAAAAGGTTTGGCTATTATTAGTTTTTTTATAGCAATTTCCATGTGTTTACCCCCACCTGTGCTGACATACTATAGATTTTGTTGATTACAGCGCCTCACACTGAACAAAAAAAAAATAGTAAAAAAGTAGTAGAAAGCTACATCAGCTATAAAAATATCCTCTTAATACACGATATCACTTATCCAAGGCTCGCAACAAACAACTTGTACAGAATAAAAATTAATCGGTCTGACTGGTTCTCTAAAACTAACCACATTTGAATCAATATCATCGAACTAACCTCTTTGAGCTCCCCAAACGGGGCAAAAACCTTCTCCAGGTCTGACTTCCTCACATCATCGCCTATGTCCGCGATGTGTAGCCTGTACCCGTCCGGCTCGCTACTCCTGCTGCGGGACCTCGAACGCGACTTGGAGTAGGTCGAGCGGCTCTGTTTGCTTTTGTTGCTGTTCTTGCTGCTGTTCGAGCTGCTTCTGCTGCGCCTCTTTTTTTCGATTGCCTCTGGTGACGGGGACTTTTCCTGCTCGTTGTCCCTCATTATCGCCGTCAGACACCACGAATGATAAACAACAGGCAGTTGTTTCCGGCGTGCCTAAAATGGCGGCCAGCGATTAGATTAATGGCGAAGGGGGCTCTACTCACCGTAATACTGGTTTTGAGGGGCTTCCTAGAGCCTGGGCTATCGATTTGATGTTATTGAAGGCGTAGGGGATTTTTTCGCGACGCCAGGAGACGCCACGTCCGAAATCCTTGAAAAACCCCAAGACGGCGGTGGCTAGAGTCACGGCGCACGCGGCAATAAACAATCGGTGACGTAAACAGCAGCGGCCTTGGAGTTATCTTGTCAACTGTCAAGGTTTTGATAAGGAAGGCTTCACGCTGGGTACTGGTTTGAGCCGGGTTGGATTGATAAATGCGTGACGAGCAATTGAATTGTGCGAAACTGCGGAGTAATCAGTAATTAGCGCGGGTATTGATGAGGCGAGCGGTCAGGGCCGGCTCCGGAAAAAATGTGTATAAAAATGTTCAGAAAATTATTAAATTGCTATATAAGAATGCTTTGTTACTGGCAATACCAATGTCATACCAATAATTACGTTGGGTGCAGTGTGCAGTATAAAAATATATATGATATGGGTCACAAAAATCCAGTCCGGGTGCAGTTTGGTTGGTAACAATGTCTTTTTACTTAGTTGGTCATTTAATTTAATTTGGTAATGTTGATAATGCTGCTAATTGGTGGATAAAAACTAAACTCTTTCACTCATTCTTAAACATGAATTGAAAAAATAAAGACAAATCAAACAGTAATATTAGTCTACAGTAGCGGTCATTTCTACGGAACCACTCGATAAAAAGTCAAGTTGGTAGCCCTGTCATCTAGTACTTTACGCCGAACGCGGTTGGTAGCGGTAGTTGATATGGCAATCGAAACTAGCACAACACGAATGTTTCGGTTGCCCTCAGTTATGCCGCACTGTATCCCGTGCAGACTGTATGTTCTGTTAATCTATTTATTAAAATAAAATATCTACATTGACAATGGGGCCATCTAACCTGTCAAATTTTTGACACATATGTTTTCCCCCAGAAACCCGTCAAGGTCACTTACACCAAACAAATTTTGAAAATTTACACTAGGGAGTGGTTCTATAGAAAAGACCGCGACTTTACACTCAAATTTAGGTTCGCAACAATGAATCATTTGGGCTGATTTTCCCACATAAATTTGGTGCCAGTAAATCCTAGGTGAAGATTCATTGCTGCAAACTTAAATGTGAGTACAGACAAATTTTAACATGATTTTGCAAAAGGTCTACTAAGATGTTGAAAACAAGAGTGACATTAATGATAGTTTGCAATGACACTAGTAACTAGTTATAATGACAATGACGTCACAAATATCACCAGAAACCATATTTACACATTACAATAAATAAAGACAGAAAATCGGCGGTTTCGTTTTGCTTACAACAGTCACATTAACACTGGGGAAATTTTTGTAGGTAGGTTAAAAATGGATATATGCAACTCGTGTCTATTACCACTGTGTATATAAGATATACTGATATTAAAACATGATCTAAGGTTAAAACCCGTTTTTAGTTAAATAAAACGCGTTTTCTCTAGTTAAAACTAGTTTTTACTAAATGCCTTCGTTACAACTAGAATTCAATGGTAATCAGTTAAAACTAGTCGTAACCAGACACAACGCGTTTTACTTTTTGTTTTATGTTTGTTTTCTGTTAAGATTGAAGCTATTTTTTACGTTCCTTTGTCTGATTATTTCAGTTACTTTAAATTAATATCCATTGTTGCCATAGCACTACTATTTTGTTTGGTGAGAACTAGTTTTAACTGATGACAGCAGTTTATTCTAGATGCAACAAAGGTATTCAGTAACAACTAGTTTTAACTAGAGAAAACACGTTTTCACTGAAAACGGGTTTTACTATTCATGTAGAGCCAATGAGGTGTAATTGTAAACATCGTCTCTCATCTCCAGACCAATGAAATGATTTATTAAGATGGAGCTTGTGCGAGTGGGAGGGGCATCAGATATATTGCTTTTTAAATATGATGCTCACGTCTGGTATACTTATTTAATAACAGCTTAATACCTTCAAGATTCTTTGTTTAACAACTGATTTATTTTCTCACCAACGGTTTAATGGATTTGCCTAAGATTCTAATAATATAATAATGTTATCGTTAATTAACAGTATTAAGAGTAGTCACTACAAAGAAGAGGGGGTGGGTGAGTGGGGCTGTTGCCTCTTTATAAAAGACTCATTATGGAAAAGTTAAACTTAGCCCCGCCCATCCACCCGTCCATTCTCTTTTTTTTCTTCTGAAACAAGAAATACATTTTTATACAAGAAATTACTTTTTTAGTTCTTTTACTTTGTTTTAAATCTTGGATTTTATCGCTTGTTAAAAATTCAATTCCCATTTTACAGTAAATAAAATAAGCCAGTCAGCGAAATAGGGAGATGAGATGGGCGGAGCTGAGTTTAGCTTTTTCTAAAGAGTCTTATAAGCAACCAGAAACCCCGCCCACCTACCCCCTCTTCATTCCAGAGACTACTCTTAATATTGTTCAGTTTCATCTTAGTAAGTTGTAGTCCCGCCCACCCGCCCTCTCTTTTCTTAGAGGGTATGTCATCTGCCAAAATCAGTTTTATCTTAGCAGATACTAGCCCCGCCCACCCACCCTCTGTTTTCTTAGAAGGAATCTTATTTGCCAAATCGGTCTTACTTTAGCAATAACTTGAATTTATTACATGTCACGATTGACATATCTGTCATACAACATACAACCACTTCCGTTGTGCCAACATTAAATGAAAAGCAAGAAAACTTCACATTTTTGTTTAAAAAGTACTGCCAACAGACCCAGTTATTTCTGATCGCGCGTTAGTAATATATATACAGGTTGATTAAATTTGCAAATTGTCAGTTTTCTCACCTCTATTTTTTTAGAAGGACATTTATTTGCCAAAATCAGTCTTATCTTAGCCGATGCTAGCCCCGCCCACCCGCCCTCTATTTTCTTACAGGGAATGTCATTTGCCTAAATCAATCTTATCTTAGCAGGTACTAGCTCCGCCCACCCGCCTTTCTTTCTTAGAGGAAATATCATTTGCCAAAATCAGTCTTAAGATGTACATATTATATACATTTATGTTTATAAAAGTGAATGTTTTCACATTTACTGTAATACAGTCGTTTCCAAAAAAATTTGGGCAAGATGAGCAAATTAGATTCTCGTAGATCCAGTGAGAATATGACTTTCATGCCAATGTCATTTGCCCGAAATTTTTACAATCGCGGCAAAAAAATCTTGGACGTTAATGTTACCTTTCAAGAAGTGTGAAACACCTTCAAGTATTATTACCTAATTTTTTTTTAGTTTTGTTATTTTTGACACTGCGGCCATGCTGACACTGGGTGTGACGTGATCAAACTTTTAAACTTTAAACGACAAAGTAATAATAAAGCATAAACTACATCAAAAATTTCAAAACAACAGAGAAATGACGTCCAAGATTTTCTAGCTCTAGCAATTCTGAAAGTATTATTTTGTGCTGCTATTGCCAAACCTGATTCAAATGCTTGCCTAATCAATGGCAAATTTTGACGTAAATTAAATGTCACTGTCAACCAATCTTAAGAAAAATTCATTGCCACCAACTGAAACAGTACTTAATGATCACACTGCAGTAACTTCACGTTTCTTAGGTTGTCAGCCAGCTTTTAAAACTCCACGAGGAGCTTTAATTGCTGATAATCAAATCTTTTGCGTTCTTGAAAACAATCTTAACAAACGCTAGCCTCAACTTGATTTGATATGTCAGAATAGTCACCAAAATAAATTACTAAAAGCCAGGTTTACAATTAAAAATCCATAGATACATTGTGGACTACCAAATTTTTCACTGTGGGTCGATTTTATACGGGTTTTCATTAATATCTAGTATCTAGTAGGCCATGGATTTTGAAAATGAGTTGGTACTGCGCATTGCTTAACCTGAAATTCTAATGTCGAGTGTCAAACAGAAAAGTAAAACATTTATAGCCCAACTTTTTGTATCAGTAACCAACAAAATTCCAAAATCACAGCACATGTTGTCCCTCAGGAGTCAATTACAGGTTTATTCGTCCAATCATATTGCGCGACTTTGACACCAAACGTCAAATTTTACAATTTTCACTAGTACCAACTTTCAAACAAAATGCATGGCCTTCTAGATATCAAACATTAATGAAAATCGTGTGTATTTATATGATATAAAAATAAGTGACAGCTGGAGCCCTTCTGATCAAGAGTGATTGATTTTTCTCATTATTTTGGCTTTATTGTTTAAATTCCCGGATGATGATTTACAACGAAGCAAATTGGGTTGGCAGTTCACAGTTGTCAATTTTGACATGACTGCGCGTAAAAACCAATGGGAAGATGGCAGCTACTAAATTCGATTTGACATAATAAAATTTTAAAAATGTTGCCAGCCTGACAGAAAAAAACATAAACATTGATAGCCACTCGATACTTTCTCTTCGATCAAGAACAAGAACGTTTTCCAAATACAGCAAGTATTCATATGCGTCTGGGTGTCTTAAAATTTTGGAGCCGGCCCTGTTGGCGGTGTTTACTCTCCTATCGGCACTCTAATCCCGTCCGTAGTCTCCGTAGCTTTAGCCACCTCCGGCCTTGGGCTTGAATCTGTCACCGTCAGCTGTCAAGAGCCCCCTACGCATAGTAAATAATTGATTAATAAATGTACCACAAAATCTGACTTAATCATCAAAATGGGTAACGCAGGCAGTGGCGGGGCGCCCCGCGAACGCCCAAAACCCGGCGAGGCGGCACCTTCATCACCCACAAAAGAAGGCCAGGCTTTCATCTTCGACAAAAAACCAGAGAACAAACTAGTGTTTCAAAGTTCGCAAGACGACGAGGAGCCCTATTTCACGCGCCCCGCTATGGTAGAGTACGAACACCAAAGGCCTCGCTCCAACACCGTGTCCGAAGGGACGAAAGTCAACACCAGTGATAAAACCCCCACAGTCTTCCGATGGGAGGGCGGCGGTAAGGACGTTTACGTCAGTGGCACATTCAACGAGTGGAAAACCATACCCATGGTGAAGAGCCACGGGGACTTCGTGACGATAATTGACCTGCCGGAGGGGGAGCACCAATACAAATTCTACGTGGACGGGGAGTGGAGGAACGATCCGGGGAACAAAACCGTGGAGGACCAAAGTGGGGTTAAGAACAACTTGATCACGGTGAAGAAGTCCGATTTTGAGGTGTTTCAAGCGTTGGATAAGGATAGCGAGACTGTTAATAACGCAGATCCGAGTCAGAAGGAGTTCTCGCAGGAGATACCAGCGAATAAACCGTGGGAGAAGGTCACGGGGCCCCCGATTCTACCTCCGCATTTATTGCAAGTCATTTTGAACAAGGACACACCGCTTTCGGTAAATTGATTGGGGTTGTGGTTTGGTTGTTTTGATTGTTGTTTTTTGCAGTGTGAACCTACGCTTCTGCCAGAACCTAACCATGTGATGCTGAACCACTTGTATGCCTTATCCATCAAAGACGGTGTTATGGTGCTCAGTGCCACCCATAGGTATCGCAAAAAATACGTCACCACGCTTCTCTACAAACCAATATAATTGTTATTTATATATATTTTTTTTATTAGGGTTGTATTAGTTGGTTTGCTTACAAACTTAATTTTCATTAACTTTGTGATAATGTAAAAACTATAGGTGTACATAAGTCTTTTATTAATCACGTAAAAAATTAAAACTACGAAGTATGTTTGGATCTTATATGTGTAAGAAGCGACACTTTCTGTGGAAAAGCCATGGGACAGTATTCACAAATGTAGGGCTTCTCATTGGTATGTTGCCTTGTGTGTACTTTGAGTGAGTAAGTACTGGTGAACCCTTTCATACAATAAACACACGAATAAGGCCTCTCTCCTGTATGACTGTGCATATGCTTTTTCATATCTCTAACTCTCTTACCACACAGCGTACACATGACTTTACCAATCTCCGGATCTGGAAAAACAAAAACTGAAACCCAGAACTTACCAAAATCAACCCCACCAACCTACATGACTCTTCATATGCCTCTTATACTCAGACTTTACTTTACACATCCTGCCACAAATCTCACATGTATAAATAACCCCCTTGTGAATCAACATGTGCCCCCTCAACGATTCTGAATTCTTAAAAATCTTCCCACAATCTTTACATTCAACAGGCTGCGCTAAATGCAGCTGAATATGTCTTTTCAAATTATCTGACCTAACCACCATGCCACAAACATTACACACACCAGGCGCCACATGTTCTGTCCTTTTATGACTATACAATTTGAACCTCGAAGGAAAAGTTTTATCACATATATTGCATTTGCACCTTTTCATGTCTGCCATCGCTTTTTTCACGCTTTCTTTCACATCAGTTTCACATTCTTGCTCATCTTGAGTCTGGCTTGAAGATTCGCTACTTGGGTCCAGTGGAGCCATTTCAACATAAAGTGGATCAAAATGCTCCTTTTTAACGATTGGTGTTTTGCTAGTTTCCGCGGCTTTTTGAGGACTGCTCTTTTTCAAGCGCTCTAAGGTGGCTGCACGTTCTTGCAGTTCTTTGTCGCTGTTAATTATCACTCTGCGAAAGTTATATAAAATGTTTACGTTTGTTATGCACTCCTGGCATATGTTGGAAGGGTAGTTGTCGTCCTTTATTACCTGTAAGCTCAATTTAATGGGCTTGTTTGAACGAAATTGAAATTTACCTGAATGGAGGCGATTGTTTCGATTTTGCTGATCAAGGTCGAATTGACATACAGGGGGGTTAAGTTAGTGGGGACCCGGAGACAGGTTCGGCATACGTTATCCATTTTATTATGCCGAATTTGGTTTTCAACGGTAAAAAAATAAAATACAAAAAAAATTGGTGGTGGAATGACATTTAACAGTTGACACTTGACAGGTGACTAGGGCTACCAACCTTAGCATATATTTTTTGAATACACATTGTTATGTACGAAAAAAATTGTTAAACTTATTAGTTTTAGGTCCTTTTATAAAGATGTGATAGTTTAAATAAATTAAATAACTTGATTATTTGAAAAATTAACACTGGAAGTTTCATTTTTAATTTACCCGCCATAAATTTGCAAATTCAAAGTTACTCTAGTGGCTGAATCATACAGTTTCTAATGTTATAAATAAAAGAAAAAGATAACTAAAGTGAGGCATATAAGGTGTAAGTTCACCTAAAATTTCAAGTAAGTTCAAGTTAATTAGGAATAATTAGCAATCGTTAACTTGCACTGTCATTTTGACATTTATAATTGGGTCACCAAATCCCAATTACAATTTAAATTTCGAAATGTAATAGCAGAATTAATGGTTTTAAAAACTAGTTGTTTGTAGAGGAGTCTGTAGCAACGAGCTCCGCTAAAATTTTAGTTGATTTATTAAATTTCAGGAAATAGGTAAAAAAATCAGTTTACAACAGTATTGTGGGTTGCCTATAGCCCAAATTAAAAAATAAGCATCTAAAAAAACACAAACTAAAACCATTGTTTAAACCAAGCACACAAATAAATAATGTAAAATATTGCAGTACTCTGCACCGTGTAGTTGTGTAATAAAAAATGAATGAATGGTAGAACATCTATAATTTCAGGACGTGACTTTTAGACTAAATGGTTGGTACCTTGGATTCGTTTAAACAACTCGTTTTTTTTTTATACATAAATTAATGTTTAATATTATTATATTTTGGAAAGGCACATAAAGCGTAAAGAAACAAACTAAAATTGTGTTGAATTATGATGGAAATATTTTGTGAAATAGAAAACAAAAGAATAAAAACGTATATTTTTTGAAAAATTTAAAACAGTCTTAAGGTTCTAGGCATCCCTGTTTGAAAGTGCTTTGCAGCTGCTAGCCCCGCCCGCCCACCCTTTTTTTTTTCTTAGAGGGCATGTTCGCCAAAATCAATTTTATCTTAGCAGGTACTAGCCCCGCCCACCCACCCTCTTTTTTCTTAGAGAATATGTCATTTGCCAAAATCGGTCTTATTTTTAGCAGCTACTAGCTCCGCCCACCCACCCTCTCTTTTCTTAGAAGGTATGTCATTTGTCAAAATCAATTTTATCTAGCCCCGCCCACCCACCCTCTCTTTTCTTAGAGGGTATGTAATTTGCCAAACTCAGTTTTATCTTAGCAGGTACTAGCCCCACCCGCCCACCCTCTCTTTTTTTTAGAGGCTATGTCATTTGCCAAAGTCAGTCTTATTTTAGCACCTAGGTACTAGCCCCGCCCACCTACCCTCTCTTTTCTTAGAGGATATCTCATTTGCCAAAATCAGTCTTATCTTAGCAGCTGCTAGATAGAATCGAAATGTCCAAGGTTTTTTGCGTTGCCTGCGTTGATAGTTGGGTTGATAAAGCCGAATAGCCACTTTTGATAGGTAATTTTGTTTTATTTTGTAATATTGTGTTTTAATTTATGTCACCTTGTCCTGTTATTGGGCTTTAAGCCGTTGGGCACTGTATTGAAATAAATAAATAAATAAATAAATAAATAAATAAATAAATAAATAAATAAATAAATAAATAAATAAATAAATAAATAAATAAATAAATAAATAAATAAATAAATAAATAAATAAATAAATAAATAACCCAGTAGTTACTTTTGACGCCATTTTCCTTATGAGGGCGTTAGTTACCTTTGAATGACAGTTCAAATTTGAATTTGATGCAGTTGTTGTTGGTATGTAATTTTTGTAATTTTGTAATAAAATACGATTAAAAAAAATGTTGTATACCATCTTGTTTAAACAGTGATACACATTTCACCTACCACGAATTCCCATCGCAGAAGCAGAGATTTTCTGCGTAGATAAAAAAGTATCACTCTTGGGGAAAATCTGAAAGGTTTGCATTCTTTAACTATTAAAAAATATTATAATTTGCTCTTTCTTCTTAATATACGTATATATCTTCTTTTCACAAGAAGAAACATAAAATATGTTCAAAACGGTAAACTTTTGTAGGGAAATATGTATTTTGCAATTAGGCTCCGCCCCTCTGTCTAACGACGAATGAAAAACATTTTTTTTTTCTTAATATCGGTATATAGTTTTCTGTAAACAACATAATAATTAAGCATGTTTTCAGTTTCTTATTGTTTTATCGGGAAAAGAAGTCTTCGTATATTAAGAAAAAATGTATAAAATATAAGCCCCGTCCGCCCACCCTCTCTCAATTGTGATGATTTTTTATTCATCGTGAGCGGAGGGCGGAGCTTAGCTGCAAAAACCTCATTTCTCTACAACAAATTAGCATGTAAAATATGTTCTTGAAAGAGTAAAATTTTGCAAAGAAATATGCATTTTGCAATTAAACTCCGCCGCTGGGTCAGCCAACGAATAAAAAAAATCATTACAAGCGAGATAGGGTGGGTGGGTGGGGCTTATATTTTGCCCTTTCTTCTTAATATACGTAGTCTTCTTTTCACAACAAGAAATTTAAACATGTTCAAAATTTTTGTATTGCATTTTGCAATTACGCTCCGCCTCTCGGTCTGACAACGAATAAAAAATTCATCACAATTGAGATCGGGACTTTTTTTGTTACATATAGTTTTATTTGAACAACACGATAGTTAAATAAGTTTTCAGTTTCTTGTTAGGAAAAGATTTCGTAAGTATATTAAAAAAAATGTACAAAATATGAGCCCCGCCCACCCACACTTTCTCAATTGTGATGATTTTTTTTATTCATCGTGAGCTGAGGGCGGAGCTTAGCTGCAAAAGCCTCATTTCTGAACAAGAAATGACCATGTAAAATATGTTCTTGAAAGAGTAAAGTTTTGCAAAGAAATACGCATTTTGCAATTAAACTCCGCCGCTGGGTCAGCCAACGAATAAAAAAAATCATTACAATCGAGATAGGGTGGGTGGGTGGGGCTTATATTTTGCCCTTTCTTCTTAATATACGTAGTCTTCTTTTCACAACAAGAAACTTAAACATGTTCAAAATTTTTGTATTGTATTTTGCAATTACGCTCCGCCTCTCGGTCCGACAACGAATAAAAAATTCATCATAATTGAGATCGAGACTTTTTTTTGTTACATATAGTTTTATTTGAACAACACGGTAGTTAAATAAGTTTTCAGTTTCTTGTTTGGAAAAGATTTTGTAAGTATATATATTAAAAAAAAATGTACAAAATATAAGCCCCCCCAACCAACCCCTTCTCAATTGTGATGACTTTTTTTCCTCGTGAGCTGAGGGCGGAGCTTAGCTGCAAAAGCCTCATTTCTGAACAAGAAATGACCATGTAAAATATGTTCTTGAAAGAGTAAAATTTTGCAAAGAAATATTCATTTTGCAATTAAACTCCGCCGCTGGGTGAGCCAACGAATAAAAAAATCATTAAAACCGAGATAGGGTGGGTGGGTGGGGCTTATATTTTGCCCTTTCTTCTTAATATACGTAGTCTTCTTTTCACAACAAGAAATTTAAACATGTTCAAAATTTTTGTATTGCATTTTGCAATTACGCTCCGCCTCTCGGTCTGACAACGAATAAAAAATTCATCACAATTGAGATCGGGACTTTTTTTGTTACATATAGTTTTATTTGAACAACACGATAGTTAAATAAGTTTTCAGTTTCTTGTTAGGAAAAGATTTCGTAAGTATATTAAAAAAAATGTACAAAATATGAGCCCCGCCCACCCACACTTTCTCAATTGTGATGATTTTTTTTATTCATCGTGAGCTGAGGGCGGAGCTTAGCTGCAAAAGCCTCATTTCTGAACAAGAAATGACCATGTAAAATATGTTCTTGAAAGAGTAAAGTTTTGCAAAGAAATACGCATTTTGCAATTAAACTCCGCCGCTGGGTCAGCCAACGAATAAGAAAAATCATTACAACCGAGATAGGGTGGGTGGGTGGGGCTTATATTTTGCCCTTTCTTCTTAATATACGTAGTCTTCTTTTCACAACAAGAAAATTAAAACATGTTCAAAATTTTTGTAAGGAAATATGTAGTTTGCAATTACGCTCCGTCCCTTGGTCCGACAACGAATAAAAAATTCATCATAATTGAGATTGGGACTTTGAGTTATAGTTTTAGTTGAACAACACGATAGTTAAACATGTTTTTAGTTTCTTGTTGGAAAAAGAAGATTTGGTGTATTAAAAAAAATGTATGAAATATAAACCCCGCCCACCCACCCTGTCTCAATTGTGATGGAACAAGTTAACAACTGTTAATTTCGTACGTTGCTAAATCGATCATTTTAGAAAAATTTAACCAAAATACGCAGAGCCCACTGTTAAACTTTCTGAGTAAAATTTCATTTTTATTTCATTACAATTTTTTGTCGTGATGATATGTAACGCGATTAACAAGTGTGTAAGAGAGAGGTGCAAGAAGGTGTGTAACCGACCAATAATCAATGAAAAACTTCACCAACAAACCAGCACAGAACATCATAAACCAACAATTTCTTCTCTACTGTCAAATTGGCCAAATGTCAATGAAGGATAACTAGCGCCCTCATCAAAATGTGTCAAAATTTTGCACAACTATCAACTCAGGCGAAGGTTTTTTGTCACCAGAAAAATTCATTCATTGGATGTAATCGTTTTCACTTATACAAGCGCTGTTATCCCATAAAATATGGTTGCGGTTTTCTTTTTTTTTTTCGTAAATTTTGACGATATTACGAATGCTACATTTGTTAACACTGTTTCCCTATTTGTCGATTTGTTTTGTCGCGTTACCTCTAAATAGATTGATATTTAACACTGTTTTATATCTTTTTATAATATTAATAAAAATGTAAAAGGTTTATTCTGATTTTTTTAGTGAAGTAATAAAAAACTCACGAGCAATTTTTACAGTTAGTTTTATTAATTAAATATTCGTTTCTACACTGTTGGACTTTTTAGTAAAAAACTATGTACACAAGTCTTAAGGATAGGAGGACGCATCATTTAATGCTAAATTAATTTACATAAAAAATTACAAAAATATGGCAAGAAATTACAAAATCCTTGATACAAGGTTTACTGCTTCGTTAAAATTGATTTAATAAGTCTTTGAATACGGCACTATAAACTATACATATTCCTCGGAAGGCTTGGGCGCATTCGTCAGCCTTAACGAGGATGGCACCCTTCCATTCACAGAGTCAGGTAACTCGGCAATGTCTTTGAACACACCCGCTAAGCTCTGGAAGTTGGGGTTCCAGTTGAGATAGAAGTCCCAACCCAACCCTGTCGTGGACGGCGACCCCGTCGACGGCCTGTACAGCGGTCCCTCCAGCTCGTCGTCGGACGCCACCAGCGTGCTCATCGAGCCCCTGTACGAAGAATCGAACCCGTCGTACGACGGCAGAGGTATATTGTTCTTACTACCCGAACTGGAATCGTTCCTCCTCGAATCCGGCTCGTTGGACTTATACTTGTCCCCCGCCAGACTGGCGTTGTCGTACTCTATCTCCGAGCACGTGAAACTGTCGTTCCCGCTTTCGTCCGTCGTGGTGGAGCTGTGGTGCGTCGCCGGCACCGGCGAGTGGTGGAGGTGATTGAGGTGGTTGTTGCCGCCCCCTCGAGGCGCCTCGCTCGAACTAGAAACGGCGTCTAGAGTCGACACTAGACTGGAAGTCCGAGGTCTCGAGTTAAGTCTTTCGATCTCTTCGGCAGTCAAGCCCATTCCGCTCGAGGGGTTCGAGACGGGAGGAGGAGCCGCCGCTTTCCGACTACTGGAACTTTGCCCGCTGAGCTGCGACATCACGGGACTGTTGAGACTCCTCTCGCTGTTGCTGTGGAGGACGTCTTTCCCGACGCCCCCCGAGCTGGACGTCGTTGCCAACAGGGCGCTCTGGAGGGGCTTCCCGCTGATGTCGTGCAGAGTCAAGATGCGCGGTTGCTGGGCGCTCATCTCGCTGCTGGGGCTCAGACGAGCCAAGGGAGTGCTTTGGTGGGGCCTCGAACTGGGACTAGTGACGGGGGGAGCTCGAGGAGGGTACCCCGTGGGGTGGTGAGGTGAGTGGCGGTGTTGGGCTTGCGCTTGCGCACCTGTGTGCTTGTGGTGGTAACCCGCCACCGGAGGAGGCGTCGCTTTATATTTCCGAACCCCTCCTGCCTCCCTGTATCCTTTGTAGTGGTACACCACGTCGATGTCTGAGGGCGCAATGGAACTTGCATTCTCCAAGTCGTAGTGTTCGGGGATTTCGGAGTTTAGGTCGTTGGGTCCGTGGTCGTGGCTGTGGTTAGTCGTAGGTGGGAGTGGCGGGTGGTGCTCTTCCCTCATCGGGATACTCTTGCTGACCACCTCTCTTTCGATAATGTCGGGTCTCTGCGGTCTCGGCAGCTCCCCTTGACCGATGTCCCTCTCTTTGTACTTCTTCGATAACAGTTCGGGACCTACCAAGGGATGGCCGCCAATGCCTCGTATCACGTCTCCATTCTCCGAGTGGTACCCCATGGAGTTATCAGCGGTGTGCAACCCTCGACCTAGTACGTTGTCGTTGACGGTGTTCAATCCGTTGGTACTCATCATGGTTGTGCCCCCGTTCTGTTTACTGTGCATTCCGGACGGGCTTCCCGGAGCCCCTCCTTTTTCTTTGTGTTGTTTTCTCAATCTAAAAACTACGAACGAAACTAATATGGCAACAAGTAACACCACAAAGAAAACGATGACGAGGGTGATTCCGATGCTGAGGGGATCCGTAGAGGGCGCAGCTCCGACTCCGATAACCCCGTTGCATTCTCTCAGAACTTTCCCTTTGAAGACTACTTCATGGAAGATGCTTCCGGATCCATTAAACGGTTGGATTTCGTTGTTGATCGTGAAGTTGGTTACGCAACCTTCGAATGGTTGCGGAACCGAATCGCGGGCGTAATAGAAATTGCGTTGAGCACCCCCCACGGACAAGTACGTGAGGTATGGATCTAGGAAATCGTGAACTCCTGCTGTGTCTAGTTCGTCGCCTAATCGGACACCGTCGAGAAGTATCTCAAGTCCACGACTGTGCGAGTGAAGGGTTATGTTATGCCAATGCCCATCCGTCACGCTGGCATGGCTATCAGTCATATTAACACTACTCGACAATTTACTTATGTACACGATTTGACCGTTGATTAGTTCTACTGAGGTATATTGTTTATTGCTGGTGGCGTAAAAGATCACACCCTTCGTCTGTACCGTCCTGAACAACAAACTGACACTTTTCGCGGGAGAGTCATTCGACCGTTTGCGCCTCTTCCACAGGGTTGAACCCCCGTACAACGATTCCAGCAACTGCATCCTTTTGTGCTTCTTCGAGATGGCGAATTCCACGAAAGCACCGTCGCTGAGACTGACTGGTTGGAGGGCGCTGTGACAATTCGGTGCGACGAGGTTGCTGCCGCAGGTGCAACTAACCGAGCTCCACCGGTCCAGACAAGTCCCGAACCCGAGACACGGATCCGAGGAAACCGCCGCACACGAGCCTCTTCGTGCGCACGTGTTCTGAATACCCTCCGCTTGCAGAGGGTGCGTGAGATTGAGGAGTCTCCCGTTCACGGACACGCTGTGCACGCACCCCACCAGGTCGTCGGAGTGGATTTGGCCCGGACGCTCCAGAACGGGATCGGCGCTGTTCAAACCGCCAATCAGCAGAAGCTGATTGTTGAAGTTCAAAGTCCTGGAAAAGAAATGTTAGATGGGAGCGGTTGATTAATCGACAACTTACCCCGCCGGTCCAATATCATCAGCGTAACAAGAATTGTCACCGGGACGGCATTCTTCACATACATCACCGTGTTCCATACATGGAGCGACACTTAATGACACCACTCGGCCGTTCCTAGTCGCGATGATCTTGTGCCAGCTGCCATCGGCCAGGTTGTTGTTCTTGCCTCCGACGCTGATGGACGTTACAGCCGTTCTGGCACCGCCGAAGGAAAAAACGGCACGTCCGTTCACTAATTCAACAGCCACGAAGTCGCTGCGGCCACCAGTCTGCAAGCCGTAGTTGTACACGAGCAAGGAGTTCGGCTTCGTTGTCGAAAAGATGAAAGTGATGTCGTTGGTGGCGGCGTCTAGCGACGGGAACGCCATGTACGACAGTTCCTGGAAGCCGAACGTGGACTTCTCGCAATGTCTTCCGTAGCGGCCATCCGTGCAACTACACTTGTACCCGGGCTTCAAGCTGACGCAAAGTCCGCCGTGAAGGCAAGGGTTGGGCCTGCAAGAATCAGCAAGGGCTTCGCATTGGTTGCCGCGGTAGCCGGGACGACACAAACAGAAGAAGGAAGAACCGTCCGGACTTTCCCGGCAGGAACCACCGTTCTGGCAAGGATTTTCCGAGCAAGCGTCCCCGCGTTCCATTTCGCAGTACCTGCCGTCTTTGGAAGGAGGGCAAATGCAGTGGAAGTTGAAACCTTGACGGCGGCACTGACCGCCGGATTTGCAGGGGTTGGGTTGGCAAGGGTCTTGGCGTTTGTTGCAGTTCTTGCCGGTGAAACCGTCGGCACACTGGCAGTTGTATTCATGCACGATCAAGGGAGAAGTGAAGACAATGTTTTGACTGTCGGTGATTTTAGTATTGCGTTTGACGCTGATTTCTTCGGTGCAGATACCTCCGTTCTCGCAAGTGTTGTCGTTGCAGGGAGAGAAACCGATTTTCACGTCGGCGGTTTGGAAGAGGCTCACGATGCTTTCGCGTTTTTTGGATAACTTTTCGACGACGTAGTCTCTGTTGCGGTAGGTGATTCCGTTTTTGACAGCTACTGTCAATTCAAGACCTTCGTCTGTGTCGTGGAGACCGTACAGGAAGAGACTTTCACCGGAACTGAGGGATACTTTGAGGATATCGAGAAGACCTCGGTAACTTTGGGCTAGGAATTGTTGACTGGTGACGTTGCCGATTCGAATCGTGATGGAATTTTCAACCGTTTCGTTGGTGAATCTTACGAATTCCACAGTGACTGTGGATACGACGTCGGAATGTTTGCCGTCGTTGCCGGAGACAGATAGTGAATAACCTTGTCCCGGAGTTACTCTAGATGCGTGTAAATTGCACCCTGATGGTACCGATAGTACCCCAGAAATGGTAGGCCCTTGAATCACCTTACATTTATAGTCTCCAGTAATGTCGAGATCGTTGGGATGCACGTCTGCGATTTTACCAACAGGGAAAGCCCCATTGAACGCATAGACTAGTACATGAACCGATCTAGAACTCGATGGGCTATCATTTTGATCCAGAACTTCAATCGTGACACTATGCTGAGATTTCATTCTCGGGGTACCACTATCTTCCACTTCCACCAAAATATCCAACTGAGGAATTGCCTCCCTGTCTATCATTTTCGTAGTAACAACCATCCCTGAATGTTTATCAATCCTAACATAATCTTTGTGTTTGCCTCCTATCAACTTATAGGTGAAGGGTGCCCCATTTGGAGGTAGATCTGGGTCTTTGGCCGACAGTGTCATTATTCTGGTATTCGGTGGTTCATTTTCCATAACTCTTCCGATAACTTGAGGAGGATCGAATATGGGCCCGTTGTCATTAATATCAGTGACATGGATCTTGACAGTCGCTGTACCCGTTTGAGGTGGCAGCCCAGTATCAATCCCTCCAACAACCAAAGAGTACACCGGAATCGTCTCTCTATCCAGAACCCGAGCGGTTTCAATTTCGCCCGACTGAGGATCGATTTTAAAAGCTTGTTCCGTGTTACCTCCAATAATGGAGTAACTAAACTGGTTATTCTGCGGACGCACGTCTTTATCAACTGCTTTGACAATAGTGACTTTCGTTCCTATGTTGGCACCTTCAGAAATCTCCACCTCGTACAGATTTTGGAGGAACTCAGGCGGGTCATTACCGTCTTGGACTTCAACGATGACTTGGGCTTCATCCGTGTCGTTACCCCGAATACCACCAGCGTTTTTAGCCATGACTGTGAGCACAATGCGACTTTGAGTTTCCCGATCTAGGTTCCTGGACACGCTTATAACTCCAGTTTCGGAATTGATATTGAAGCCTTTATCGTTACTCGAACCCACGAAGAGGTAGTAGACTTTGCCGTCGTCCCCTGAATCTTGATCGGTCGCTTGCACGGTACCAATTTGTGTTCCCACTTCCGTGGATTCGGAAACGTCAAAGTGAAAAGCTGGTTGGATGAACCTGGGGTAGTACTCATTGACGCCGTTCACGTGGACGCGAAGCTCCGCGGTACTAAACATGGGAGAGTCGGGGTTGCTTGCCATTATATTTAGTGTGTAGAGGTTGTTTTCTTCGTAGTCGAAACTATAGCGTGCGGTTATTCTACCAGTTTTTTGATCAATAGCAAACATGTCTTTGTCGGTACCATCTGAAATCGAGTACTGGATGATCGCGTTTTTGGGAGAGTCGATATCGGTGGCTTTGACTTGGTAAACGAAGCTGTTTGGAGGAAGGTTCTCCGAGACGTAGGCTTCGTACACCGATTGATTGAACGTAGGTGAATTGTCATTGATGTCTGTCAAAGTAATCGTAAGCATAGCTGTGGTTTGATGGGCTTTGAACCCTAAATCTTCCGCTGTGATATTTAGGTGGTACTCTTGTATCGTGTCGTAGTCTAGAGGTTGCAGTATCGTAACAGCCCCTGAAATGGCATCGACGGCAAACTCTTTCCTTTCGTTGCCTTCAGATATCTTGTAGCGAATCATGCCGTTAGGCCCTTGGTCTCCATCAGAAGCGCTAACTGTTAAAATCGTGGAACCTAACGGTTCGTTCTCCGGTACGATCACTTGGTAACTCAAGGCGGTAAAAACTGGCGTGTATTTGTTTTCGCCGGTTACCACCATCGTAACAGTTACTTCGTCTTGCTGAGGCGGTACTCCCCTATCCACCGCTCTTACTCTAAGTATGTATTCTTTGCCCACTTGAGTAACGGGATCAGTCAGAGTTATCCACCCGTTGTATTTGTCGATAACGAAGTTCTTAGAACCATTTCCAGCGACAATCGCGTATTGAATCTCCGCGTTCACGCCAAAGTCTTGTTCGTCTCTCGCCGTCACCTTCAGCAGCAGTTGTCCTTCATGAGCGTCGTGTGGTACCGGAGACAGGTACTCCGACTCGTCGAATTTCGGCGCGTTGTTGTTCGCATCCACAACGTTAACAGTTACCAAACATTCCGAAGACATGGGCGGCTTTCCATTATCGGTGGCCAGAATCGTAAGCGAATACATATTTTCAGGTGAAGATTCCAATTGGGTGTATTTATACCGCAAGCTGCGCTTACTGAAGATATCTCCAGACGCCGGATCGACCGTGAAGAGGTCGGATGGCTGCTGCAGTGAATAACTTATAACGGAATTGGGCCCCTGCTTATCACGATCGGTCGCAGTGACTTGCCCAACGAAAACAACATCTCTCTGAAGTTCAGGGAAGTTAAAACTGTAGAACGAGTGTTCGAATTCTGGGGCGTTATCGTTTTGATCTTGAATTGTGATGGTGAGAGGAGTTTCGGCTTTCCATGCACCATCCACGGCGGCTACTTTTAGGAGGTACTCGTCTTGTTGTTCGCGGTCTAAATGACCGACGACGGTCACGTTACCGCTGATGGAATCAATCTTGAACTTCTCACCCGGGTTTTCTGTGAAACTATACGTAGCGTTGGCGTTTTCGCCGATGTCTTTATCGGAGCTGGTGACCTGGATGACGAAGGAGCCGATGTCTGCGTTTTCGGTGACGTTCACGCTGAAGAGGCGACTGAAACGCGGAGGGTTGTCGTTTTTGTCGAGGACTGTGACAAGAACCGTCGCAGTTCCGGTGAGCTGAGGGACCCCTTGGTCCAGAGCTTCGACGACTAGTTCGTAGTTGGGGGTTTCTTCGCGATCCAGGCGTGTATTGGTGTAGATTTCTCCACTTTCCGAGTCAATTTCGAACGCCCCTTCGAAATCATCCATCAGTTTGTAGGTGACTTGGCCGTTTTCGCCCGAATCTACATCGGTCGCTGAAACTTTGACCACCAGTTGTGGTGGAGCTTCTTCTTCTAAGATGGACGCGTTGTAGAGGAGACTGTTGAGGACCGGGGGGTTGTCGTTGGCGTCAGTCACGTTGATGGTCAGTTGCAAGACTGTTCGTAGTGGAGGCGTGTCTGAGTCTCTAGCTTCGATCCACACTTCATACTGTGGAGACGTTTCGTAATCGAGACCTTTCCCGGCCACTTGGACTTCTCCCGTGTTCTTGTCCATGGTCAAGGCTTCGCCTACGTTACCCCCGGCGATGGCGAAGCGCACGTTGCTCGCCGCTCCCTTTTTAGGCGAAGTAGCCTTGAACCTCGCCACTAGCTTCCCCGCTTCAACATTTTCCGCAAGAACGAACCTAGTCTTGGCCGGCGATGTGAAAGACGGGAAAAGATGGTCCGGTTTGAGGAACACTCTCAGTTCCGTGCTAGCCTTCTTCGGGATTTTCCCACCATCCTTCGCTTCGATTTCTAAATTGAAGACGTTCGTGGACGACCGAGAGAGATCTTGCGACGCTTTGATCACACCGGTCTCTGGATTTATGGTGAAGTTTTTAGCGTGTTCTCCTGCTAGAGAGTAAGTGATTTTGCTGTTGAGACCGACGTCTTCGTCTGTGGCTTTGGCTCCGAAGACGAAGTGTCCCGCTTTGGTCTTGTCGGAGATGTAGACTTCGTATTTCGTGGAGGTGAAAGTAGGCGAGTTGTCATTTTCGTCAGACACTGTGATGGTTAGATTGACAGCTGCTGCTCTAGGGTCCGTCGCGGAGCAGTCTTGTGCCATTAACGTGAAGTAGTAGATGTCGGTTTCTTCTCTGTCTAGTATGGCCGACGTGGTGATGACGCCGCTGTCTTGATCGACTTTGAACCTGTCGACTTTGTCTCCTAAAAGGCTGTAGCGTATTTTGGCGTTGAGGCCCACGTCTTTGTCTGTGGCCGTCGGTGTGAGGACCCATGTGGAGAGTGGAGAGTTTTCGGCGACGGTTGCGTGATAGGATTGTCTTCTGAATTCGGGGCTGTGATCGTTGACGTCTTGGACTATGACCTTGACGGTTCCAGTTCCGGTCAAAGGTGGAGATCCTGGAAAGAAACGAACGGTTGAACAACTTACGATTCTGTCGGTGTTAATACTAAGAATATCGATTTGGCGTTGTGAATGTAAATAGCATGATGAGTGACAGTCGGTGTTTAAGACCGGAGTGCTGTTTAGGTCCCACGGCCTTCGCTGGCGAGCACTTGAATGATAATTATATGAAGAGACCGCGAGACGGGGATTTGTTGTTTTTCGCTGTTGGATAAATAATGGGTGTAAAATAACAATTTTATTAGGCACGTTGTTTGACAGTTTAACTAATGATTCCGACTTCCGCTTCGGATGGATCGTTTAGCATGTCTACTGCGACATACGTAAAAACCTCGCACCCATGAATATTGATGGTGCTGCATTACCCGCCGACAATTAATTACAATAATTTGTTGGAAGTAATTGCGAATACAAGACGACAAACCGAGAGTGTGCGCGAAAATCCCGCGACATGACTAATGGCCCGTATTGGAGAATTTATGCATGCGTTTTGGTTTTGTTCGGTCAACGACAAGGCATCAACGTCAAATATAAATGCAGTTTAATTCCCGGTTTGAATTAAGACGGATGGTGGCCGCTGGGGCGGAGTCTCGAGATGATCGCTCGAACCTGTCCTCTGACGCCATGTTCCCCGCTGGATGAGCGATCGAACAAACATCTAAGGGACGAACGCACTACTCCACAAACATTTCAATTTCTTTATTGCCGGCAACAGCTGGATGTTGACCTGCGAACGGCGCGACGACATTTCCACGCAATCAACATACCTCCGACTCGCGAAGGTTTGTGCGTTTCCGCTGGATTTCGGGGCCCCGAAATGCGTGAGAAATGCCAGGCACGGCACAGGTGCGTGTGTGATCTGTCGATGTCAAAATAAACGGCCGTAATGAAATAGCTGATGCTCGCCAGCCCGGAAGGGTAAGGCGGACAATTTTCAACACGTAAGGCCAATTAGAGTCCCGGCGTATGTTTGCGTATGGAAAACGTGGACACTCTCGTACTGGTGGTCCCCAACACTCCGCTCCGAAATCCACCTCATTCGAGACCGTTTCGTTAATCTCAAAACTTCTGGATACAAGTCGACCCGAAAATTCTTAGAGCCCTAGGGTTTACTTTCCCAAGTACCGCTGCTATTTTTCCTAGGGAGATGTTCATTCATGGTTTGAAAAGGTAGATGCCCTGATCTTGGTCATCCCCGGGCGCTATTAGGGTCCCACCGTATACTTAGCGCCCGAAAAGGTGGACTTCGTACGGTTATCGTCCCGTAGGTTGTACCCTAGCAATGATACTATCTTTCTTAAAGAGAATTGAGATCCCGAGATATGCTCATTCACGTTTTTAAAGGGTAGGTTCCTATTATTATTAGTGGAAAAGGTGGATCCTGTACTGTTACGGTCCCGTGGGTTGTCCCTAGCACCGCTACTACTTTTATTACAGAGAATTAAAGTCATATGTTCGTTCAGGTAGATGCTCTGTCGTCGGTCGTCACCAGGCTTTCCGGAGTGTTCGATCGCTGCTTCGCTAATTCCGGATCGGCTGTCCGCGGTTTGTTTCCGCTTATCATAAGACCCCTAGCATAGCACGCATTCCGCTGCGCCTCTGAAGTAACGGTGCCTTATTGCAGGTACATGCTAAATACGGTCCCTATTTATCTATCGCACATCCCATTACACGAGCGCGAGATATGACGGAGTTAGCAATTCCGAGCCGGAGGGCGAGCAGGCTCACCGCACATAACTAGGTTTGCACTTTGAAATTCATTCGCGGGTCAGCCGGGGTCATCCGCCCCTACAGCCAAAGCAAACAAACGCGGCAACTGTTCGAGCGGTTTCGTTTAACCCCGGAAGAAGGGAAATTCGGAAAACGAGTCCCCGAGTCATCATCCCGCGAGCAGAAAAAGCCGAACGCTTTGTCTCTCCACTTCGTTACGATCTCTGTAATGTAGATGCTAATCGCAGCATCGTGAGAACTCCGCTTCGTGACAATTCATGTTAGTTTAAGTGACGGCCGCTGGGGTACGTGCACTAAGGAGACGGCGTCCACTCCGGCGTTCTCATGATACACGGTTGCAAAAACGTAATTGGGGCGACGGCAGGTAGGTTCGTGTTGTACGGCTTCAGTAAGGGATGGTTTACGTGATGGTTTTCTTTAATAAAGTATTCTGTTGTAGCGGACACCTGCATTCGAAAGTATACGATTCCAAGGCGGAGGAATTTTGACGATGCTGCTTTTGTCTACATGCCGATATCTATGATCTTGGAGGTAAAAAGTGACGGTGGTTGGCGGGACTGGCGGCGTTGCCGCTTCTGTCTACCACATAACTTTCAATTTTGAAGTTTGTTGCTTTAGATTATCTATACGGCTAGAGTGAATGTGGATCTTCCAAAAAAAAGGTACTTGTCGTAGCTAGTTGTTTGTTGTTGATGGAGTAGGCCACTAGGGTATGACAGGAACTTTCTTTTTAAGTGGAGCGAGGAAATGGAAAACAAAAACTGGAAAAGTAACGACAACGACTGAAAAGAGCAAAAAATAGAACACGACCGGTAATGACGTACGAGAGAAAATCTGCTCCAGTTAGAGAATCAAAAAAGCGAATGCCGGAGACGCAAAGTGAAGCGAAAGAATAAAAAATGTGTAACATAAATGGAGCTATTAAAAATGGCGGAAAAAATAATTCAAGGTTAAGTAGTCTGCACAATCTACATGTAAATCATGGGTGAGATTCCTCGTGTTTATCAGATGGAGAACTCTTTAAAGCTACCACCTTCAGAAAGTGTAACGAACCTGCCGTGTTCCACAACATTAGTAGTAATTATGCAACAATTAACTTCCAAACAATGGTCGATTGTAATTGCGCCAGGTATGCGGACGTGCATACCCTCTTCTCCGACGGAAATGCAGTGCGTGTGCGTCCAAATGGTAACTCTACATGAACATTTCGTGAAGCAAAACGTGGACTTGCTCCTCACGAATTCTGTCCATCTAGTAGTCGATTTTGATTTACCCATGAACTTTTATGGATCGTCCACGCATGAGTGCCCAGTGAATCTGTAATTCAGTGGGGGACCAAAATGAATATTCATGAAAAGTCGATGTTAAGTGTTCGAGAAACCGACAATTGCAATTCCGTTTGACGTCCGAAAGTGTCCCAGGGTGCAAATCGGACCATAAATCATTTTCGGGTGGCTCCGCGTTACGTGGTACCACCGGTGGACCTTCTGATGGAATTTCGACTAGACCGTCCGCTCTTTTTTCCCCAGCTGTCCTTGTCTGTGTTTCATCGTCAGTGACAGAAGGTTTGCGATAAATAATCCTGATACGAATCGGACTCGGCGGTATAGAAAAGACATGAAGAAAAAAAACTTATAAGAGTACTTGACCCGAGTTCAAATCTATAATAACTTGAGGCAAGTATAACAATACGCGCGGTGCACGATCTGTCTTGTCTCCATTTAATGTAATGTTCTTGGTTTATAGATATTGCCGATTGAAGCCCTCGATTTAGTCCGATATCGCGACGGCCATGGGTCTCGCTTCCTGGTACTAACGCAGCCCCCCGTCGACCGTAATAGTGACAAATTGCGATATTTTATCGACAGATCTGGCCGCATAACCTTACTGTTTTCCCAGCTCGTATTCATTATTTACCCATTAGATTTAAGCCGCTGCCGCAAATCATTTTGATTTATGGGTATACGCAAGTACCCGTCCAGTCTGGCGACATATCGCCGAAATTTTCCACTCGCGGTTGACGATCTCCGGGAAAAATCGGCCGGTCGAGCTCGTTTGATAAATATTTTCATTAAATCAAACGCAGCGGTGTTGACAAGAAAATGACTTTTCATGAGACAAATGCCGACAACATTCAGCCTGCTTATTACTTACCATTCTAGCGGAATATATGCGTACTTATAATAATAAATTGCTCGCTGGAATAAAATCAAGCGGACAAAAAAAGATAGTGTTGCCGAGCTACTGCATTTCTCAAATACTCATTTCTACTATTGGCGATATATTTTATGACCTGTGCCACTTGCTTTGATCAGTGGCGGAACATGAAACGCAGGAGCAAAGGTCAATCGAGAGGTGTGACAATAGCCAGCTTTGTGGTTTTTACAACATCGCGATGACCACTCGGAGGCACGCACACTCACCGACCGTCACGCCAGGACCAACATTCTGCAGCCGAAAATTGCCCGATGCATGCACTGTTAAGACACTCATCTAGGAATTTCTAGGCTTCTCTCCCATTACGGAAATACTCATCCGATCCCTAAGAGTCGGACAATTTTTCTGCTGCAAAACATCGGTCCCATAGTCTTAGAAAACGTCCAACCCTTACCGGTGTCCATAGCCCCCAGCGACAGCGTGTACTCCGCCTGCACCTCCCTGTCCAGCGCCCTCAGCAGCGAGATCTCCCCCGTGGAGGCGTTGATCCTGAACGTGTCCGGCTTGCCCTCCTTGATGAAGTACCTCACCAGCGAGTTGAGCGGCGGCGTGTCGGCATCGTACGCCTGCACCGTAATAACGTACCCTCCGTTGGGCGGGATCGTGTTCTCCATGACGTACGCTAAATACGGCGAGTCCAAGAACGTGGGCGGATTATCGTTGATATCCGAAACGGAGATGACGATTTCCGCGGTGTCGGACCTCACCACGTCCCCGTTGATGTCCTCAGCGCAGTCTTCCGCACGTACCGTCAGCACATACCGCGATTTCCTTTCATAATTCAAGTTTTTAGCCACACGAACAACACCTGTGTCTTCTGCGATGCTGAAGTCACGGTTGGTGTCCCCGGAACTGATCGAGTAGCGCACGCGACCGTTGAGGCCGTCGTCCACGTCGGTGGCGGACACCTGCAGCACGCTGGCGCCGATCGAGGCGTTCTCGGCGATGGACGCGCTATACTGCTTGGGGTCGAACACGGGGCTGTTGTCGTTCTCGTCGAGGATGCGCACGAAGATCTGGGTCTGGGTAGCGCGAGGAGGGTCTCCGCGGTCGCGGGCGGTGATGGTGAGGGTGTAGTTGCTCTTGGTCTCGCGGTCGATGCGGCCGGAGACGCGCAGCAGTCCGTCGACCGGACCCAGGGAGAAGATGCCAGAGGTGAGGGGGTCGTTGGAGAGGGAGTATTCGATGTAGCCGTTACGACCTTCGTCTTTGTCCACGGCTTTGACGGCCATCACCACGGTGTTGACGGGGATGTTCTCGGCCACGGAGGTCTCGTTAGGGGTGATGAACTCAGGGGACATGTCGTTGACGTCTTTGAGGATGATGGTCACCTGAAAGGGCGAACATTTGCTATTAGTAGGGTTTTAGTGATTGATACAGTGTCGACAATACATACAACCCCTCGATTAAGACAAATACTACTGAGGTAACAAAGAAAAGGTGAAAGATGAAATGAAAAGTATAAAAGATTTAAGTTCCCTGGGGCAAAAGGAAATGCTGAAGAAGACTACTCGAACGAAATACCCAGGAAGGGATCTTTGGGCTTAGACTAAATATGTCAGAAGGAAGTTGCAAGGGAATGGAAAGCAAAAGAATGAAATGTGGAAGATAATATAAAGAAGAAAATGGGAAAACATGTAAACAGTTTGGTATGGATAGGTGCGGCAGCGGCAGAAAGCAGATGGTCTACAAGAATATTAGCATAGATTCCACTGAAGAGAATTAAAGGAGGGAGACCATGAAGGAGGTCGAGACGGTACTTCGGAAGCATGAACTTGAGAAATCCGTAAAAATAGAATCGTGAAGATAGAAGAAGATGGCGACTAGGTGTGGTGAGACGGAACAACTTAAAATTCGGCAGGTAAGGTGCCACAGGAGGAAGAGACCCAAGTGTGCATTTATTTTTCTTGAATGTGGTGTTGTTCTTCAAGTGAGCGATTTTATGGCGACTTTTTGCGAAATATGTGCGTGGTGGTGTTGAATATTAAGAGTTTTACGGCTGAATAAGCAAAAATCAACATGCAAAGTCGTAAGAAGGAATGACTCCGTTGTAAATTAAATGTCAATGGACTGTGTCTAATGTACACACCTAACGCAAGAAAATCTGAAATTCTCGGTTCGGAGTCCTTGAACCCTAAAAAGCGTCTTCGATTTTATTGCTTAATTAGTTTGATTGTTTCCAAAAAGCAGGAATGTCTTGATAAGAGTTTAATTGCCGGCGATGGTTTAATCCGAGCGTAAAATATCGGCAACTTTTCAGAGAAAAAAGCTCCGGTTTAGTGTTGCGTGTTGTCCATAAAAATTGCTTGACAATACGAAAAATTTTACGAGTATTAATTTACGAGACAAAATCCGGAATTTTTATGCATCGTAAAAGTTAAATTTCATAACTTACAAAAACGAAGCAAAAAATTGTTAATAAACATGTCAAGCCTTAAATAAAATTTGGTAGAGCTACCGAATAAATGCGCTCGTCAAACACGTCTTTATGAAGAACAGATTTTATAGAGCCGAATTTATAGATTGGGTTGGTATAAAATTGCATAATTTATTTAAAGCTGACTTTATTAGATTCCTAATTAGAATTGGGCTTTGTAGTTTTGGTTCTTCCCACACGTCGCGCTGGAATTTTATACGTCCATAACCACAACAATTTCAAACACTCGAAATTTCCTCGAACGTGCCGTCATCAAACAACATACGGACAGTTACCAAAAGTACATGCATCTGAAAACTCGTCTGCTGTTCACAATTAAGTCTTTGGTAAACAGCAGAGGTGCCAGGTCATTAAGTTGGTTGATTTACCCATGATGGAGTGTTTACTGTGTCAACAACAACCTCGACGTGTTAACACCCTTGTACGCTCCAATCCTCGACATGTCTATTTTTCGAACAAAAGTCATTTCTAGCGATTTACCTGAACCGTAGACGACAGACGTTGATCCACGGGCAAGGCCTGATCGGTCGCCGTCACCACCAAGTTGTACAGCCCCTGCCGCTCCCTGTCCAAACTCCTCTTAGTGACGATGGTACCGTTGGGTACCACTTCGAAGTCTCCTCGTTCATCTCCCGCCGTAATGCTGTACACGATCTTGCCGTTCTCTCCTGCAAGCAAACACTCTGTTAATGGTACAGATTATGATGGTTTATGGGCATTATTGGAGAGTCCATCGCTTCTGAAATCCGCCGTGTATATTAATGCTCTTTAATGAATATTCCGGGTGTCCAGAACGACTCATTACGTTATCTCGACGGCTCGAATAAAGCAAATGTAATTGGGATATGCTTTAATGGTCTTAATCTGGCGACATTTATTCGCCGATAGGCGCTCATTGACCGCGCCCTCGACAGGACAAATAGAGTAATTAGTACCAACTGATGGACACACCAAGGCGCAGATCCGACATGGTACCATTTAGGGTCGTGTGCCTAAGTAACTCATCACGCCCAGAAAAACAATTTTGAAATTTTGGTACTACCACCAGATCAAACTAAGTTCAAAGTTAGTTGAAATGAATGGGTTAACTGATTTGCCCCAGTTCGGCCGACCGGGTCCCAAGAGTCGCAAATGTGCCAACCGGACGCCATCCTCACTTCTTTATCGTCACTTTCGGGGGGCGCCAAGGGCACTCTCGCTCGAAATTTACATATCTTAATCGAATCGGCTCGCGATTTTTGCCCGCCTTTTACGTCTGTGCGACCTCGAGGTCGCGACCATTGTCTGTAATGTCGTGTTATTAGACACAGTGTTGGTTTACGCGGCCGATACGACCCTGTAATCTGCGAGCCGACCACACGACACTCCCTTCGTCACGTTATTATTTCCCATTGCGGAGAAAAAATACCCACCGGAGTCCAGGTCTGTAGCGCTGACGGTGACCACAGGGGTGGCCACGCTCACATTCTCGAAGATCTCGTTGGTGTAGGACATGGGGTCGAAGAGGGGCGTGTTGTCGTTGAGGTCCAGGACGTTGCAGTAGACGGTGAGGGTGCTGGAGAGAGCCGGGTGGCCGGCGTCCTGGGCCTGGACGACCAGGATGTAGTGTTGGACCTGCAAGAGAACCATAATGTAAAGGTTGTGGAAACGCCAAGGTTGAGGTACTAAAGTTAATTTGGTCCTAGATTTATTTAATAGTGAAGTACCGTGTGAGAAGAATTTCGGTTTTTACGCAAAGCTTTCCTGGTCACACCTTCGTAAATAACAGCACTCTCTGTTCGATAGCCTTCCAACTTTTATGGCTAGAAAGGCATTTAATAAACTCCACGTTTATGGATTCTTTTCCCGAAAAATGTAGTTTTTATGACAGTTGTAGGACCCAACGCTGAGCCGCTGCACCGCCGTCTTTTAAGCAAATAAAAATGATTTCTCGTGGCATTTAGTGATTTTATTGGCTCATTATGGATGGAGCAACGACGGAAGCTGATCTCGATAAGAATTTTACGAGCCGGTAATTTCAAATTACGTTAATTAGTGCGTTCGTTAAACTTTCGGGGAGATTTATTCGACGGGGACTTGGTGGCACGCGGTTTTCCATTTTTCCCATTTTTGTTACGTTGACAACCGACCGACAACATATTTCACACTTGTTTTGTTGCGTTGCTGCACTGCTCGCTCAGACGCATTTCTCTTTTAATTGGAAATTTATTAAATTAGTGATGGCAGAACAGCTGATTTAATTAATAGGCAGGATGAGAAATTTATAAATTTATTGCTTGTGTGTATCTAGTGCGAGCAGCCGGTTATTACATACAATGTAATGATTATGCATGAGGGGGCTCTTTGGACACCACCGGCAAATCCGGACCGCCAAGATCCTTTTCCGGCTTTCGGGTAATTTTACGCTTACGGTGCCCACAGCGACCTCATTCGGGTGTTTTATTGAAAAAAATCACAAGATGGTTGAAGAAAACAAAGTAGATTCAACACAGCTGCCTCGCGGGACACCAGATGTAGCAATAAAAGTTTTAGTGAGAGAAATTGGGTTGAATCACAGGATGTGGATATTCGTACTTCGACTAAGTGTGAAGATTCCGTGATTACTTCTAAAGCGCGCCCCAGGGCTGCTCCTCGGGACATTTTTTTTGTTTTCGGGTAATTTCTGGGTGACGGGATCGCGTTGCTTTAGTTTGGCGCTACAGAAATGGCTATGGTGTCGCGAGCTGCGTTCGCATTCGAGGGCGCCCCAGGGCGCGGCTTCGGGGCCTCTGTTGTTTCGTTTTCCGCGCGCCGCCACTGATCCGGAGCAACCCGTTCCCGCAAAAAGCGCGATAAATTCCTGCGAAGAGGGATAGTGTGGAAGTAATAAAGTGGACGCCTCAGAACGGAGCTGCGCTCGCATCCGTATGTGACAAAAACGGTGAAAAAGTCGTCAACGAATCAATCTATATTCTATTAATATAATAGTACACGGGCTCGGTGCGAGCGTTTGAAATTTATGATTTTGCCTTTTCGAGCTGCGCTTATGATGACAGGACAAAATTGTCGTTTGCGTAGACGACGCATGTCGCCGACAAAAACCCGGCCGACGGAGTCGAGCACAACAGTTACCGGAACCTGCTGAAGACTTCGCAGTTTCTAGTTTTTGCCGCCGAATCGGGCGGCGAGTTCCCAGCGCGACGAAACGCGCAGAGGGCCCTGGTAATTAAAAGCTGCGACATCTTATCGAATATATCATCCACCTCCGTGGCTATATTTCATTTTGCTGCATAAACGCTAAATTAGCTCCGATAATTATTCTCTTACAATTACTCGGAGCAAGTGGTCTGGTGCCCACGCAGCGGCCTCCTTGGGCTCCGCGTTATTATAGATCACGCTAGCTCTGGGCACACGCCGAGGAAAAGGGCCTACTTTTTTCCGGCTGCGCCATCTTCGGCGTACGCGATTTTCGCCACTCATTGCTATTCGACACCAGCCCATCTTGGAAGAACCTAACGGTGTTCGGGCGAGGAAGGATTATAAATTCAGTTTTATATTGCGATAAATCTGTCTTCGCAGGTGAGTGGTCTTATAAATTCTGCCGATTATGCTAAGTACTTTAACATATTCAAAGTTTTTCTATTGTTGAATTTCAAATCGGCTCTGTTTCAAGAATTGGTGAACTCTTGAGACTGTCAGACGCAGACGCGGATGATTGGTATTCTTTGTGTTCGCGTGTGAAGTGCAGGTGATGGAAATAGATTTGTAAATAAAATCACGTTACATTGAAACTCTTAGAACCGAGTAAGTATTTATACAGGTGTTGCAAAATTATTTGGAGAGGTGACGTCACTTTGCAACAATTTGTCGGTTTTGGTGTTTCTTATTGTAGAAAATCTCCCTCATCTTGGTCCAACAGTGTCAACAATTTGAGAAAAAAAGATGCATTTAGTTTTATGGATTCTTTTCCATGAAGAATTGAGCTTAATCAGAATAACACGCGAGCAGGCAAAAACCACAGAAAACCGCCAAGTATTCTTGTCCTTGCTTGCATAGCCATAGAACTATAATTACTCATTGATGATCTGTAATCATTAGGAAGCAAAATTTTTATATACCTATACAGGGTATTATTTCTCAAGTGGACGATGGAATTATGCAGATACTTACTTCACAAATTCTGTTTTTAGAATTGGAAATAAATTATACTATAGTGGCTTTTTTTCTAGAAATTTTATAAACCTTGTTGGAGGAAGTTTCGGGTATCAGAATTCTATTAGTTTTGTTGGTTTATGTCCGCGCCGGTCCCATTCAATTTGACGTTCCAATTTGGTTGTGAAAATTAGTTGCGATGGCTAACAAAATCCCGTCCATCCACCGGCCTTCGATCTTGGCCCGCAGAAACCATAAGTCTTCCCAAGTTAAAGACCTGCCGTCCTTCCTCCATACCTCCCAGAAATTAAAATAATAAACTTCATTGTCCTTCCACATCCACGGCACGCGTAATTTATTCAGGTTTACGGCAATATTTCGCCCGATTTGACATCGCCAAGGCCTTCGAGCTCGAAAACTATAACAACATTTAATCATAGGTGGTCTCCTTTCGCAAAAACGAGCAACAATCATAAGTCAGCGATTTTTCCCGAGCCGTTTACCGGCTTTCGGTTAAAAATCAGCTCCACGACGGTGCGTTGACAATAGTTGGCCTTTTTGCTCTTGGCGGCAGGACCCTGCGCAGCGGAGACGGCAGAGGGTGCTGAAATACGGCGGTGTTGCGAGGACAATGTTGTAGAATACATGGAGCGGTTGTAAATAAAACCGGAGGTTTTTATGGAAATAAACAAAGTTATAGAGGTTTGAGCCGTTTCGTCGGTTTCATCTTTCTGTAATAAGGCTTCGGATGCGTGCTCTGACGAAAAAACTACTAATTAATACTGAAAAACACTAATCGACTCGGAAAGGTGGAGTGAGACCGGAATACAAATTAAAATGTTGCCACACAGAGAGACACGCTGGTGGTGGATCGAGTAGCGTTGGAATTTTAGAAAAATCTCAAAAATGGGAGGCATAAAATGTGTTTGTAGAAAATGTGAATGTAATTAAAATGTGACTGATTTAGGAGCGTTGTTATTCACTTTTATGACATTTAGTTTGCAAACGTTTTAAAAATAGCAAGATTTATTTGTAATTCCCTTCAAGGCAACCTGTGGTACTGTAGGAGGCAAGGCGTTTCAGCCCGACACCAAAGACGTTTTCTTCTTAACTATTTCGCAATACTTAAACACAAATTACGAAGGATTAGATAATTGTTTAAGGCATGTACTGGATATAAATCTGTGGTATTTCTTACGCGTTTGTTCGCCCATTCTAATACCATTAAGTTCCTATTCAAGGTTTTCTTCTAGCTTTTCGATCTACACATTTTTTCCAAATCGTATCAATATCTTTTCTATAAAATGGAGACCATATAGAAGAACAATATTGAAGATTTGACTGCACTAAAGAAAAATACAACGTTTTAAGAGCAGAGAGAGATAATGTACAAGCATGCTTATTGATTTATTAAAAATATAATAAAAATGCTCCTAGAACGTAAGTATCCATTTATATAGAGTATTAAGGTCTAATTGAAATTCTAAAGGATCACCAATAAATTGAATAGTCCCGAATAATAGAAGTTGGAAAATTGAAACAATGTAGGTCCACAATGTGAACCTTGCGGCACTCCAGAAAATGCGAAGTATTGAGAAGGCAATTTAAAAATAAGTAAGCTATGGTTGAGTTTATCGAATGCCTTCCAGAAATCTGTGTAAAGTGAATCAGTGGCGGCGCAGACTTTTGTACGAGGAGATTGTTCGAGCATTGTCCTAAATGACATTTATAGGCTATAAAATTTTATTAATATGCAAACATAGAGTATATAATATAGCTACAACAATGAAATAACATTTTTTAACAATTTTAACACTACTTAAATAGTAAATGAGCATCAACCTACTCAAGCAACCTACTTTATGATGGCATTTTGACAAATTGTTGACAAGGTTTAATTGTTTGTGCACTCCCAAACAGCCGTCATTCTATTTAAAAAGATCTAAATTCCTGGTTCAAAACAATTACAAGCTAACCACAATTATCGTCGAATCCTTGCGAATAATGCCTCCTATGGGTATTGCGCTGCAATCAATTTCACCGTCATTCAGCACAATGATATTATTCAATCAAATTTCTAATCTAAATAATAGCGAAACAGTTTATTACGCCTTTGTCAGAAATCGTATTCCGCCTTCCTCTCCCGCCTTTTCCATCCATAAACTTTAATTCTAACCTTTCACACTCCAATAAATTACGAAAGCACTTGTGCCCACAGCAAACGCCACACAAACAATTCTCTCTTCCACGCTTTTATTCCCCGCTACCACAAAACTCCGTCCACTTAAAAAGCAATAGCTTAAAACTCCTCAAACCGGCCTACCATTGTTATTAATTTCAATGGCGTCGAGTTCCCGGCCATTATCCTTGGATCCAGCGCAAGCAAAAAGGATCATTTCCTCTTCCTTTCCACATTCTCGATTTATTGCGAGAACAGCGCCTAATCGTGCCCGAAAGGCCCGAGCTCGAACTTATCATTAAAT